CCTATCATGTAGCTACTATTATCTCTATTTTAGAGATGAGGAAACTGAGGCACAGAGAGATTGAGTAACTTACAATAACACAGCTAAGTGGCTGAGATGAGATTCAAACTAAGGAAGTCTTGCTTGGGACTCCATTCTCCCAGACTCAATACGATATTAGCTCCACGAAGAAACCTTTAATGGTGCTCAGCGTAACTGCACAGAACTCCCAGACCCGGAGGGCCCAGTCTCCTCTTTGACGGCCCCTCACGTTGGCTTCACCACGGAACGGGAGAGACTTGTCTCAGCTGACTACATTCAGCCTGGAACAGGATCTCCACCACCTGTCTCAAAAGGTGAGCTGGCTTGCTGCCCTCCTGGGAGGCCGGTGCCTTTCACAACAGCAACCCAGGGTAGGAGAAGCAGCGAGACCACTTTTCTAGGGCGTATTTGGCAGCACTTTAAACCTACCCAGGGTAAGCAGAGGGTGTGACATGGGCACGAATTCAGGAGTGAGAAAAAGACAGGCTTATCCACGGAGAGGGTGAGACTCTGGCTGATGGAAGGGCGTGTGAGAGAGGGGAGGGGAAGGAACGGAAAAGCATCCTGGGTCTACTTTTGGTTGTGAAAGGCCTTATACCCAAAGCAGGGAAAGTTGATTCTTCTTCTCCTATAGACAGTGGAGAGCCATCAAAGGTCATGCTGTATTTGTTAGGTTTACAGTTTCTCACACCGAAAAAGCTGGTTTTTTCTTTAGTTGCAGACACTTCTCAACTATTAGGAAATACTGCCATCATGTGGCTTTTGGTGAGGCATGCTCTGAACAGTAATGTGCCAAATTTTCTAATACTGTTTAACACTGAAACCAAAGAACAGATCTCTTGATTCAAATGGTTGAAGTTAAAGCAATGGTGACCTTAATTCTAATGTAAAAAGGATACCCTTTTTAAAAAAAGATTTTATTGATTTATTTTCAGAGAGCAAGGAAGGGAGGGAGAAAGAGAGGGAGAGAAACATTGAAGTACAGGAGAAGCATTAATCAGTTGCCTCTCACACGCCCCCAACTGGGGACCTGGCCTGCAATGCAGGCATGTGCCCTGACTGGGAATTGAACCTGTGACCTTTTGGTTCTCAGGCTGGCACTCAACCTACTGAGCCACACCAGCCAGGCCAAAAGGATACTTTTACTAAAAAGTTTTTGCACAGCAAAGGAAGCCATAAACAAAATAAAAAGACAACCCATAGAATGGGAGAACATACTCCCAATGATACATCCGATAAAGGGTTAATGCCCAAAATTTATAAAGAACTCATGCAACTTAACACCAAGAAAACAGACAGTTCAACTAAAAAATGGGCAGAGAACCTGATTAACATTTCTCTAAAGAGGACGCACAGATGGCCAATAGACATATGAAAAGATGTTCAATGTCAACAATCATCAGAGAAATGCAAATTAAAACCATGATGTGCTGTCACTTCACACCTGTTAGAATGGCTGTCATCAATAAATCAACAAACAAGTTTTGGTGAGGATGTGGAGAAAGGGAACCCTTGTGCACTGTTGGTGGGAATGCAGACTGGTAGAGCCAATGAAAAACAGCATGGACTTTCCTCAGAAAATTAAAAATGGAACTGCCTTTTGACCCAGCAATCCTACTTCTGAGAATATATCCGAAGAAACCCAAAACACTAATCTGAAAGAATATATGCACCCCTATGTTCACAGCAGCATTATTTAAAATAGCCAAGATCTGAAAACAGCCCAAGTGCCCATCAGTAGATGAGTGGATAAAAAAGCCGTGGTACATTTACACAGTGGAATACCATTGGCCATTTAAAAAAAAAAAATGGAAATCTGATCCTGTCCATCTCGGTCGTAGGTCAGCCTCCTGCGGTCTCCTGTGCAAATGGGCTCCGTGGCCTAGCGCCCCCATTCCCGCCACTCGTGATCGTGCACCGAGGTCCGCGAGGGGTCGCCTCCGAGGTATCCACCAGCGCATAAGCAAGAGCATGGCAGCCATCCCCTCCAGCGGCTCGCTCATGGCTACCCACGACTACTACCAGCGTAGCCTGGGCTCCTCTTTCAGTAACAGCTCCTGCGGAAGTGCCCAGTGCCCCGCGGAAGCCATCCCCCACCACCCTGGTCTTCCCAAGGCCTCCCGGGTCACTGGTGGGCAAGCTTCTTTTTTGGGAAGTCCACTATCCCGTTCATGGCCACCGTGTTGGAATCCCCAGAGCCCTCGAAATCTTCCCAGGCCTCCAGCAACATGATCGCCTGTGACCTGGCTCAGGAAGCCAGGAGGAAGCCACCTGGCGGCCAGCCCGGCAAAGGCAACGTCGGGCCTCCCTCCTGAGCGACCCCTGGCTGCAGCCAGGCTTCCGAGGCGCTAGGCTCTTTTGAGCCTCTCCTCCACCTATCCTGCCCCCCCTCCCCCTCATCGTCCCTCTCCCCATAGACTAGTCAGGCTGCAGCAACAGAGGCAGCTGGGTTATGTCAAAACTGCAAAACACCAAATAGGAAGCTGCAAGAGCCCTGCTGTTTACCACCGCAGCCCTACCTGAGCCTCCCAGACGCCCCATAACCGCCTGCCTTGCACCAAATGGAAAATAAATAAGCAGCCAAATCCCCGAAAAAAAAAGAAATAGAAATCTTATCTTTTGTGACAGCACAGATGGTCCTAGAAATTATCATGCTCAGTGAAATAAGCCTGTCAGAGAAAGACAAATAGTATATGATCTCATTCATATGTGGAATCTAATGAACAAAATAAACTGATGAACAAAATAGAAACAGAGGCATGGATACATGGGACAGACTGACAGCTGGCAGAGGGGAGGGGGTTGGAGAGCTGGATGAAAGACAGTACAGGGATTATATATATATAATCTCACATAGACACAGGCAACAGTGTGGTGATAGCCAGAGGGAAAGAAGAGTGGCAGCAGGTAGAGGCAGGCAATGGGGGGATAAATGGGGACAAAAAGAGACTGTGCTTTGGGTGATGGGTGCACGATGTTGAATTATACACTTGAAACCTGTCTGGTTTTGCGAATCGATGTTACACCAATAAATTCAATTTTTAAAAAAGATGTGGTACATATATACAATGGCATATTACTTGGCCATAAAAAAGAATGAAATATTACCAGTTCTCATATGATCTCATATAGTATTTGTCATAAGCCAGTCAGAGAAAGACAAATACCGTATGATTTCACTTATACATGAAATTTAAAGAATAATATAACCAAACAAAGCCAAAACAAAAACAAAATAGGAACAGACTCAGAAACAGAGACCAGACTGATGGTTGACGAGGGAAGGGGGTGGGAGACTGGGTAGAAAAGGTGAAGGGATTGAGATGCACAGATTGGTGCTTACAGGACAGCCACAGGGATGTCAAGTACAGCATAGGGAATATACTCAATAATACTGTACTATGTACAGTGTCAAGGGGGTACTGGAAATATCATAAAGAACACTTTGTAAAGTACAATATGTGATTGTTTAACCACTAAGCTGTATACCTGAAACTAATACAAAATGATATGGAATGTAAAAAATATATTTTGATTAAATGAAGAAAGTCTATACATTGCTTAAAATTGCCCAAATTACATCAAAGTTAATCAAACTTAAAAACATTAAAAAATGTAAAGGATACTTTTAATAAAGTTTTTCAAGAAACAAATACCTGGGTTCAATTCTCAGGTTTCTTTGTTTTTTAGTATCCTAATCTCTAAATCTTTAGCAATTCTGATCGCAAAGATCCTTTCTATTCTTCCCGTGCCTCCTATCTTAGAATCATAAATTCTCTGGCTCTGAAAAGACTCCAGCATTTCCAGGCCGGCTTGGCGGCGACTCTCCCGGGCCATGCCCCTCCACTGCGGCAGATTCTGTTTCAGTCCCGGTCTGTTCTCCGTGTATGATCCCACAGTTGGGCAGATCCAAAATTCAAATACGTATATCCACCATCTTCTAGCTGAGTGATTTTGGGCAAGTCACCGAACCTCCGGAAGCTTCAATTACTTCATCTGTAAAATGAGGACGACACTGTCTTCACAGGGGGTCACGGTGAGGGTGAAAAGAGGACATGTGTGAAGAGTGCCTGGCACATCACAGCTCCTCAGAGCAAGGGAGTCCCTCCTCCTTCCCCTAAGTCCTTGAGGACAGATTATTGTTGAGCACAGAACAAGAACTCGGTGGAGGTCCGTGATTCGATAGGCAAGATTTACCCCTGGTCTTCTAGCAACGTTTTCTGAAAAGGAAACGACTCATCCCCTGAGCTCTTGGGGGACCCACCCCTGTTTCAGCTCACTGCTACCGACCTTGGACTCGCTGGGGATTGCAACCCACCCAGCTCCTCCGTGAGCAGCAGGCAGCAGGTGCGTGGCTGTGGGCAGGCGCCTATGGCATTCATTCCTAGCCTGGCCCTTTTCGGGGGGGTTGGCGTGGCTGCACTTGTGTGCACGCGCGTGTGCGCGTGTGTGTATAATTTAATCCCTGTGGGACTCAGTGTCTGGTCTCACCCTCGGCTCGGCTGATTGGCTGTCTCAGCTAGCCCCCGCCCTCCCCACCACAGCGTCCCAGGTGGCTCAGGCCCCCGCGGTGATCTCTGTTTACCGAGAAAGCCTGTCCAAGTGGCGCTCCATCGCTGCGCTCTCTCCCCTCTGGGGTTCCCGCCCGCCTAGGAAGCAGGGAGAAACCAGGCCGAGCCATTCCTCGCCCTTTTCCCCACCGCCTGGAGAGGTCGGGTAAGGGGTGTGGGGGGAGAGAGGGAGTCCCAAGCCAGGGGGATCCCCTGCCACCCCGTCCCAGTATCTCGCAGGTAACTCGCGCCCACCCAGAAATTCCCTGCCTGGGCCCAATCCCGCTCCCTCTGCTCCCGCACTATCGTGCTCAGGGTGGTGTGCCCTCCCTCCCTGGGAAGGCAGCCAGAAGCTGGCTCTCTGGTCCCCAGAGGAGGCACAGACATGGAGACTTCACTCACAGATGTTCCTTTCTCCCTCAGACGCCGATGACCCCTAAGCCTGCCCGAACCCCAGACGGGGGCTGGGGCTGGGTGGTGGCAGCTGCAACCTTCACGGTGAATGGGCTCTCCTACGGGCTGTTACGTTCCCTGGGCCTCGCCCTCCCCGATCTCGCGGAGCACTTTGACCGAACCTCTCAGGACACAGCGTGGGTCAGCGCCCTGGCTCTAGCCGTGCAGCAGGCAGCCAGTGAGGGGCCCCCACCCCGAGGCGAGGGGGGGCGCTGGGGCGGGAAGCAGGGTGGAGGGGCCCTTGGTTTAGTGGTGGGGGACCTACCTGCTTACCAGATAACCTGAACAAGGACGACGGGTATCATCAAGTTCTAGGAAAGAACGGTTTGAAGTTAAAAAGAGAAGCTATCAGGCTGGGGAAGAAGTTTAGGGCCAGGCAAACAGCCAACGAGAAGCACTGGAGGGAGTTGGGGCAGGGGCGTGTCTTCTATTGACTCCGCCTCCTTCTAGGCCCAGTGGGCAGCGCCCTGAGCACCCGCTGGGGGGCGCGCCCAGTGGTGATGATTGGGGGCATTCTCACCTCACTTGGTTTCGTCTGCTCGGCTTTCTCTGGCAGTCTGCTGCACCTCTACCTTGGCCTGGGCGTCCTCTCTGGTGAGGGGAGAGGACATCTCAGTCCTAAAGGGGTGATGGTGGAGATGGGAGCTTGTTGGGGGCTGGAGGCCAATCGGGCGGGGGATGGGGTGGGGGCTGGGGCCCTCTCCCCACAAGCAGGTCTGGGATTTCTGGGCCAGGCCTTCCCGGTCCCTGTCCTCACCGGGTCTTATCCATTTGAAGGCTCCGGCTGGGCCTTGGTGTTCGCCCCTGCCCTCGGAACCCTCTCTCATTACTTCTCCCGCCGTCGAGTCTTGGCCGTGGGACTGGCACTTACCGGCAACGGAGCTTCCTCGCTGCTCCTGGCGCCTACCTTGCAGCTCCTCCTGGATACTTTCGGCTGGCGGGGCGCCCTGCTCCTCCTTGGCGCCATTACCCTCCACCTCACCCCCTGCGGTGCCCTGCTGCGACCCCTGGAGCTCCCTGGCGACCTCCCAGCCCCACCCCGCGGGCCCCTCGCTGCCCTAGGCCTGGGTCTCTTCACGCGCCGAGCCTTCTTAATTTTTGCTCTGGGTACCGCCCTGGTTGGGGGCGGGTACTTCGTCCCCTACGTGCATTTGGCCCCTCACGCTTTAGACCAGGGCCTGCGCGGGTACAGCGCCGCACTGGTGGTGGCGGTGGCTGCGGTGGCAGATGCGGGCGCCCGGCTAGTCAGCGGGTGGCTGGCAGACCAGGGCTGGGTGCCCCTCCCACGGCTGCTGGCGGTGTTTGGGGCTCTGACAGGTCTGGGGCTGCTGGCCTTGGGGCTGGTGCCGGTGGTGGGGAGCGAGGAAAGCTGGGGGGGCTCTCTACTAGCTGCAGCGGGGGCCTACGGGCTGAGCGCTGGCAGCCTCGCCCCGCTGGTTTTCGGAGTGCTCCCGGGGCTAGTGGGCCTCGGAGGTGTCGTACAGGCCACGGGGCTGGTGATGATGCTGATGAGCCTCGGTGGGCTTCTGGGCCCTCCGCTGTCAGGTAAGGGCCTGAGCCAGCAGATGGGCCGGCCGCCATTCTCTGCCCCTGGGGTTCGAGGCATCTAAAGTCCTGTCCTCTTCCTTTCAGGCTTCCTAAGGGATGAAACAGGAGATTTCACCGCCTCCTTCCTCGTGTGCGGCTCCTTGGTCCTGTCCGGCAGCTTCATCTACTCGGGGCTGCCTGGGGCGCTGCCCGCCTGCAGCCCAGCCTCCGGAGGAGCCACTCCTCCCCCTGAGAGCGGCGAGTTGCTCCCAGTTCCTCAAGTTGCCCTGCTCTCCCCAGCAGCCCCTCTTGCCACTCGGGAGACTACTTGTTGACCATTTTCTTTTGGTTTAAGCCTACCCCCCAATAAAAAAAATTCCCAATTTTCCTGCAAGATCCCATTGTTAGCCAATCTAAGACACTGACAACTTTCTACTTAAGATATTCAAAAGGCTACTGAAAAGAAACAGGATCCCACTAAGCCCTGGGAGATGGGGAGTGTATCTACCTGTCAAATCAGTCCAATTCTCTTTGCCCAAGGTGCTGCCATTGTAACAGGACTCTTTAAGAAGTTGTCTGCCTGTCAGCTTGTTTGTCTGGGGGAGAGGGAGACCCATGAGTGCTATGTGCCCCATCCTCGTTTCCTTTACTCAATCAAACTCTCCCTGTACCTCAATCTCCTTCTACTGGCCCAAGGTACATACGAGAATCCCAGTCCCAGACTTAAGCTCTCTCAGCTTCAGCTTCCCCTATCAAACTACGCCCTTCCCCCATACCATGTCCCCACCATTGTCTTTATTTCTTTCTAGGTCACAGGGGATGGTAAAAAAAAGGAGGTCAGTGGGCAAACAGGAGGAACTGTGGTCTGGAGTGTAGAAACTGGAGTTAAAACGCGGGGTCACCAGAGCGGCTGGACACCTCCCCATCATCCCCCAACCATGACCCCGTTTGGCCAACCCAAGCATGTGGGCTCCGGCTCTTTTTGAGGTTCTGATTATTACCCAGCCTTCAGATTCGGTTTTATTTCAAAGGGGCACCCCCCGCCCCGCCCCGTTCCCAAACATCAGTCTTCAGAGAAGAAATGAACTGGGCAACACTAGAGATCACGTGTAAAACAGAGTAAGTCTCTTGGCCTTTGATTTTCACAGTTTGATTCACAGCTCAGCTGTGCAGGGCGAACTCCTGGATCCTGCAGAAAAGGCTGTGGAAGCACAGCAGAGAGAGGAGTCCTCAGCTAAATACCAAGGATTGGCACACACACATCACAGGAGCCCTGGGTCTGCTGTGGTGGAAAATAAACCAAGATGCTTAAGGCACTGTGGTTCTGTGGGCACCAACATGAGGCAGGAGGAGAAGACCTGGAGCTGCCAACCTTGGCTTTCTGTGTCTAACAGCCAGCCTCTTTCTGGAGTTCAGTCCTCCCCCAGCCCTTCCTTGGGCAGGGGGACTTTGGTATTCAGTGCCTCTGTGGCAAGGCTCTGGGGCTTGGAGGTAGGAGCTGAGAAGCCAAAGAAGTGGGGCAGGGTGATGAGAACTGCGCTCCCTGCAAGGAGGAAGGCCCCGGCCACCACAAAAGAAGCTGTGTAGTTGCCTGTCACATCCCGGAGGTAGCCTATGTCCAAGAGAGAAAAAGAATACACGTGAGTGATGTGTTTTCTGGGACTGATGGCTCAGGCGTATTTTTGGGTGGGGGAAGAAAATAATCTTTATCTCATCATCTTGGAAGAGTTAGAACTCCCCAGGTAGGGCTGGATGAGCGTGAGAACTCTGGTTTCCCAAGGGCTTCAAATGGTCATTTCCATCACCTTCCTGCCTTCAGAAAGGACCTCCTACTCAGCCAGCAGGAATGTGGGGATCCAGAGCTAGTCGGGCACGCCCGTGCCTTTCTTTCTGGCACCTGCAGCCCTCCCATCGACACTTTCAGTTAATAGTTAAGAAAAAGTGTGAAGGGTCTAAAGGTCCTGGCATGTGGAGGCTGGAGAGCTTTGACCCCATGGCTCAGACACCTGAACTGGGGCCAACTGGGCCAAGGGAAACGGCGAACAGTGACATGTTATGTCTGGCCAGGTCCAGCCAAGTTCTCTGAAAACCCAAGCTGCGGGTATCCTGCCAAGGCCCCACGGCCTGAGCTTCTTTGCCCCATGGACCCACCTCGGGGCGGCTGCGCCTGGCCGCACAGGCCGTGTAGTATACCCTACTAGAGGACAACATTTACATCAACTGTAATGTGAATAGTCCCCTCCCCGAATGGTACCCGATGGCATCCCTGGCCCGCCTGGAAACCTCATTCCCCCCTTACCTGACAGAGGAGCCCCCAGCAGTCCCCCGATGCTTTCTACCATCTGCACCAGTCCCAGGCCGCAGTATATCCTTCCAGTCCCCACCAGTTCAGGCAGCATGGAGAAGGCCACTGGGGTCAGGGCCCCTGAGGCAAAGCCGTAGGCCAAGGCCAGAGCCACCACGGCTGTGGGAGCTTGAGCCACAGGAAACAGGGCCAGTGACAACCCAGTCAGGGTGGTCCAGAGCATCAGGAGTCGTGCCACCGGCCCTGGGACAGCATCCCCTAGCCACCCAGAAACTACACGCCCCACAAGGTCAGAAATAGCAACCACTGAAAGTAGGAAGGCAGCCGGCAGTGGATCCCAGTCTAGGTCCTGGAGATGGGCCACCAAGTGCACGTAGGGGATGAAGTAGCCAGTGTTGATCAAGGTGAGGGCAACAGTGTAACGGAGGAAGGGGCCATGATGGAGGAGGGAGGTGAGCTGGGCGCCAGGGCCACCCGTGGCAGGGTCCTCAGTCAGGGCGAGTGGGCGGAGGAGAGCACCACAGGCCACCAGGTGGAGGGAGAGCGCAGACACCAGCAGTAGGGCCCCCCGCCATGCATAGCGGCTAATCAGCCATTGGAAGAGTGGGGCAAAGGCAAAGGAGGAGAGGCCCACGCCAGTCAGTGCCAGCCCCGTGGCCAGGGATCGCAGGCGATCAAAGTACCGTGACAGGCAGGCCAGGGTTGGAGTGAAGGTCAAGGCCCAGCCAGAGCCTGCCCAAAAGAAAAAGAAGAAGAAATGGTGGTTGGGGAATCTTATGAATGTCCGGGCATTCAGTAATCACAGCACAGTCGGGCAGCAGAATGTAGCACAGGCCTGGTTACAATCCTTACTTTGATACTCTGTACATTCTGGCTTTTTGGCTTTACTTAATCCCCCAGCCTCAATCTCCTCATCTGCAAAATGGGAGTAATATACTTTATGGTACTGTAAGAAGTGTAGAGATAATGTTTTTTAAAGTAACTAGCACAGAATTTTGGAGTTAGACCTGGGCTCTACCATTTCTGGCTGTGTAATTTTCATTTGCCAAGTTCCGTAAGCTTCTAAAGACTTGCTTCATCTTAAACAGGATCTCTATTTCATAATCACGGTACCGGACACAACTTCATAGTATGTAATTCTTCCTCTTACGCTCCAGTCCTACTAGCCCTGGGTTTGCATATTCTGGACACATGATCTCTGAATGTCCTAATTGCCCAGCCAAGTTTATCTGTTTAGTCATCCCTCTTCATTTTCTTCAGGGTACATGTGCTATTCAAAAGTTTCCCTCAGCTTCGCCCTAAGTCTTTTGGAAGGATCAGGAGGAAGGTGATAGCCCAGAGGCCAAAACCTCAGGCATTTGACTCTCCTGCCCCTGCTCAGGGTCTCACCTGAGAGCAGCCCAATACTCAGGTACAGGTGAGTCAAGGAGGTAGCAAAGGAAGCGAGCAGCATCCCCAGCGCTGCCAAGATGCCCCCAGCCATCACCACGGGCCTTGGCCCGAACTTCGTGCTCAGGGCACTGCCCACCGGGCCTGGGGAAGAGGAAGGAGTTCTGTGAGATGACCTCGGTCATCCTTTCCCAGCATCTTTCCCCATCCCCGTCCCCATCCTTCCCCTTTACTGTCGCGCATTCCTCCCTCCCTTCCGAGCATCTCGGGACACCAGACCCAGGCGCAGCACTCACTCCCTAACTGCTGCACCGCGATTCCGAGGGAGGCGATCCAAGAGACACGCGCTGCCTGCTCCTCAAACGCCTCCACAAACTCCACAAAGAAGACGCCAAAGGAGCGGAGCACCCCGAACACCAGTGCCGACTGGAAGAACGCTGAGAGCACCACCATCCACCCCCAGCCCCCGTCGGGGGACACGGCCCCACGTGCCATCTGGGAGGCAACAGAACCCCGTCCACCGAGAGCCCCAGTGGGAGCCAGGCTCAGGACGCTCCACCTCTGCCCACTCGGTCAGCCAGCCTGACCGCTGCGGCCCCGCGAGGGCAGGAAAGGGTGGTAAAGAGGTGGGTATTGACTAGGGCTTGAAAGCTGCAGAGAGGCTGCGTGAGGCGCCTGCGCCTTTCTCCCAGGCTGGGGTACGGGGGCGGGGGCGGACATTGGTGGGGACAGTCCGCCCGCGTTTGCCTGGGCGATTAGCGCCCGGGGGCGGGGCTCCGCGGGCAGCCAGTCAAGAATCCAGGCCTGGGCAGGGTGGGCCAAAGTTCAGTGGTGGAGCCAGGAAGCGGCGCTGTGTTTGGGTGCTAGCCTTGAGGCACATCATTTTCCGTGGGGATTATCTGTTTTGTCATTGCAAGGGACAGCACCTGGTCTCCCTGGCCAGGGCCGACATCCCTGCCGATGGCTCGCGGGACTCCAGACCAGGGACGGAGCGAGAAAGGCAGGGCGGGGCTTAGAGCATTGTTCTGGACCCCGGCAGGGAGTGGGGAGCATGCGTAAAGAGGGCACTTTAGGGAGACCGAATGGACTGGGCCCCAGGTGACGCAGGGACCTAACAAGAGGCTGCTTCCGTCTCCTGTCTACCTAACTGGCCAGTTCGTCCAGATTCCAGCACCAAGACCTGCACGTAAGGAGTACACAAGGGTTGGCGGCGGGTAAACTGGTTCTGGAGAGGAAAACTTTTGTTCAATGAGGAGCCCAGGAGTTGCAAGGCCAGGTGGGGACTAGTGAAGGGATTGTGAGATTCAAACAAAACACTCCAAGCTCCTGAGGTCACTACGGTCTAGATGCCTGGATCCCTGAGGAGTTCAAAGGCCAAAGAAAGAGACAAGGGGAATGGGTTGTTGGACTCCTGGTCTCAACTAACAGGAAACCTACAGGTCACAGAGACCAAAACAGCTGGGGGGAGGAAGCACGGGCCCTACCAGCATCACCTACCCCTTCTTCAGCCGGGCTAAAACCCCTTCCTCTGTCCCTGTAGTAAAAACCCGCTTCCTAATCAGGTTTTAATCTCAGGATTAGATAGACTAAAGAGACACACCTTGACCACAGGAACAAGGAACAATCTGCCCCTCCTACCCAGTCCCTCCACCTCCTATTGCACCCATGGCTTGGCTTCCTGTTACTTTTATAATTCAAGCTCCCTGGGACCCTGACCTTGAAACTTGGACTCAAGGAATTATACCCAGACTCATGGGGGATGGGGAGGGAGAATTTGTCATTTTAAAAAGCATATTGAGTCTTATAATTCTATACATGGGAAATAAAAAGTCATACTCCAAAAAACTGGGGGTTTTTTTGCAAGTGGAGTCTAAATTTTGGGTGGTGGGGGAATATGCCAATGATGTAGAAATTCACTGCTACATCATCTCTCCGGTTCCAAGGCTGACAAAGTCCCCACACCCATGGCCCTGGAAGGCGTTTATTATCTCTACTTCAGGTGCGCCATAAAGGCTCCCATAACCCATGAAGAACAGAGGAAAGCCTATCCAGTTCTAGCCTGCTAGAGAGTGTATAATATCCAGAACACCAGAGAGGGTTCCTGACCCAATTCCACACACCCACACGTTCCCAGGGCTGCCCTAGATGGTGTGGCGGTCTAACAGTAGTTAAGAGCGCAGTCTTTAGAATCATGGCTCCAACCTTGGCTTCATCACTTATTAACTTGGCTGGGATATTGAATCTTAGTTCATTTCCCTATCTGTAAATTGAGGATAATAATAGCACCTACTTTCTAAGGTTCTCAGGGGAATTGAATTAGAAAACCTCTGCACTAAAATGTTTAGTTTAAGGCCTGACATGTACCAGGAGTAATATTAGCTGGTCTCATTTTCAACAGGGAATAAGCTATAGTGGGAGGAGAAGGAAGGTTTTAGTTTCTTTCTTTCTTTCTTTCTTTCTTTCTTTCTTTCTTTCTTTCTTTCTTTCTTTCTTTCTTTCTTTCTCTTCCTTCCTTCCTTCCTTCCTTCCTTTCTTTCTCCTTTTTTTTTTCTTTTTGCTTTGTAAAAATCTAATCCAGGTCATGAGTTTTAAAAGACTGAGAAACACAACCACAAACTGTAAGTGTTGGAAGGAACTGCAGAGACCCTGTTAATGGACCTATTTCACAGATGAGTAATTCAAGTCCAAAGGGAGGTAACTTACCAGAATTAGTGACCTGCTACCCTCTGCCCACAGGGTAGAACAGAGCTGTGCACCCAGGACACACACAGGACAGGGGATAGGGTGGGAGAGAAGCACACACTGGGCAATAGATACTGGGGGAGGGTAGAGTTGGCATGTTGGCTCTGACCTCGCAGCTGTCTTACTGCCACCTCCAGCTCCTATTGTCCTCAAGGGACCCAAGCTCTATGCATTTTTTTTTTTTTTTTTTTTTTTGGTAGTGATGATGGTGGCAGGAGATATCCCAGTACGGATGCATCCCCCAGTCCCTTGGTATTATTAGTGGCTTCCTGGTTTCTCCCTGCCGCCTCCACACTTCATGCAGGAAGTGACTTCAGAGCAGCAGGATGCAGGTGGCTCCGGAGAAACTTCATGAAGTCACTGGTTCCTACACAATGAACCAGAAGGCAAGGGCAGGGAAGGGGAGAATGTCTGGTGGAATGGGCACAAAATCCAAGATGGTATCCAGGAGGGAAGAACGCCCTTTCCCCAGCCCCCAGACCCCCCCCCCCCCCCCCAGGTAAGAACCCAGGACACAGCATGCAGCACAGAGAGGCTTCTTTATTCCATGATTCTAATCTTGCAAGACCTAACATCTCCACCCCTAGGCACTCTCCACCTGCGCATCCAATCTGCTTTAAAAAAAAAAAAAAAAATCATGGTTCCTTCTCACGTCTCTCTTCTGCTTTCCCTTCCTCCTTCAAGTCTGCAGTGGAAGCAGTAGCTTTCTCGCCAGTTCCTAACTGACAGCCACTAGTACTGACCTATCTTGAGGAAGTTCCCCACAAACTCAAAGTGCTTCTTACCCTCTTCCCCATGCCCCATAAAGAAACAGGCTCCAGGGCAAACAAGAAAGGACTGTAAATCAAGACTTCAGGGTATCATCTCACATTCCAGACCTTCCATCAGTTAAGAGGCAACTGCATTCCTAACATTCTACCTACTAGGCCTACACCAGAGACTGCATCCCTCAACCAGCCTTTTAATTTTAGTATATTTGGTTCACCGGATATTTGGTTCACTAGAAGGTCCGCCAGTCAGTCAGTCTCCTAAATCTTCTAAACCTCTAATCTCAACAGTGATCCCAATCATAATCCCAAACTCTAGCAAACCCCAAATGGAACTCAGCCCCTTTACTTTCCCTGTGGAAGGGTCTAATGCATTCACTGGTTCTAGACAGGAATGCAGTGATGGGAAGACCAGGTCACAGACCCAGCTTTTCTAAAGTAAGAGAGCTACCAAGCACCTGTGACTCCTAGAGGCGAAGAAGTTCCTGGAATCTGGACATGTGCCAGAACATGTCCAAAAACCCACTGAGGGAAGAGGAGTTTGTCTCAGGCAAAGAAAACTGCAAGGAACATTCAAGCCCAGATGGCTCTGCAGCAAAGAACTAACTGGTCATGACATGCTTAGTCCAGGTTGAGTTTCGTAATTCTCCCCAGGTCATAACATTCTTAGAGACTGGGCAGAATCAGAAAAGGTAGCATCACCTCTAGCAAGGAATTTCCGATCTCTCCCCCATGGAGGGATCAACTCAGTGCTAAGAGCAGGCCCTACTGGGAGAGTTGTGGGCTCTATCATGACAGACACAGCTGAGCCAAACCTAGCGGAACACATGGATGAGACAGTGAGAGGTATAAGAAAAGCCTCTCCAATCATCTCTCCAGTTCGAAGACTGACGAAGTCCCCACACCCATGGCCCTGGAAGGCGTTTATTATCTCTACTTCAGGTGCGCCATAAAGGCTCCCATAACCCATGAAGAACAGAGGAAAGCCTATCCAGTTCTAGCCTGCTAGAGAGTGTATAATATCCAGAACACCAGAGAGGGTTCCTGACCCAATTCCACACACCCACACGTTCCCAGGGCTGCCCTAGAACAAATAAAGGTTCCAGACCTAGAATTGGAGAGGGCAGGACACAGGGAACCCCTTTCTCCACTTTAAACAAACCAACGAGCACGCAAATAGGAGAAAGAACAAGTCTAAAGAAGTTATGGCAATAATAACAAAAAACACTCAAGCCAAAGGAGACAGCGAAGTGCTAATCTCTGCCCGCAGAGCTGTGACCTCACAATCTGTTTCAGGTCACTTTGATCCCACTGTGGAAGAGGGAGGTGGGAAATGCAAAAGAAGGAAGGCCCTGGTGCTACCCAGAGGCCTAAATAAATTATATTTACAGATAAACCAAATGAGATGGGAGCTCCAACCTCTTCTCTCCCCCAGCTCCTAGCTTGCTCTCTCCTCAGAAATAATTTTGATTGTGGGGAAGAGGTTTTGACCAGCAAAACAGAGGCAGATCAAGTCGGGATCTGCCACCCCTGCTCTCCCCAGTAAGGAATTAAGGTGGTGGCAGTTTCTGACGACGGTGGGACCTTGCACCCCTCCATGCCCAAATCTGGCAGCGAAGCCAGGCAAGGGCCAGCAGCTTTCCTGACTTCCAGGAAGTGACTGGGGTCTGGGTCGTCGCTCAGCTAGGGCCCCCCCAGAATGTGGTAGTGCACTTTGGTGTTGGTAGCAGCTCCGTGTTTCTGGCGCAGATGCAGCCGTAGTTGACTCTTGTGCCGGAAATGCAGGCCGCAGGGGTCGCACTGAGGGGGAAGGTTGGGGGGAGGGTGTTGAGGCAGCCAGGTCAGGTCCCTCCCCATCCACAACCACCTTTTAAGTGTTGAGTGAGGAAGAATTGTTAGTTCTCGCTGGAGAGAAGCTCTTTAATCTTCATGTCCTCCCAAATCCTTAGGGAGAGGCCAAGGAGAGAGGCGCCCTGCTCTTCACCAAAGGTATTTCCATCTCTTAGTTCCTCTTCAGGAGGTAGCGTCCAGTCCAGGAACCTAACTTCCCATACCTGCCCGTCGCAGCCGCCTCTCCGCCCTTCTGCCCCTCATTCACATTCCTATCCCAGGCCCCGCCCCTTGCGCACTTGGACTTTCCCGGACCCCGCCCATTTGGAAGAGACCCAGAATCCCCGGGCAGCTCCTCTCCGAGCCCCAACCCTAAGTATAGGGGAGGTAAGTCTAAGGTTTGGGTCAGGCCAGGTCCAGTACTCACGTGGTAAGGCTTCTCCCCCGTGTGGATGCGAACGTGGCTTTTGAGGGTCTGTAGGTGGCGGAAGCGAGTCCCACAGGTGGGGCAAGGATAGGGCTTTTCCCCAGTGTGGATCAGCACGTGCGCTCGCAAATGCGCTACCTGGGAAGGGAGGGGACCTCAGACAGCGCCTCTGAGAAAGACAGAACCCCCGCAAAGCGGTCCACTCTGCCCTCTTGCAAATTCGCCTTTGAACCACTTCTGAGACTGGCTCCATACCTGCACGAAGCGGGAGCCACACGTCTCACACTTGTAGGGCTTCTCTCCCGAATGGATGCGGCTATGCGTTTTCAGGTTAGCCGGCCGGTTAAAGCGGGCTCCGCAGATGGAGCAGTGGTAGGGCTTTTCCCCTGGAGGCAAGGAGGAAGCGAAGTCAGACACTCTGTCTTAGGACCCCTGTGAGCAGGAAGGTCAGGGCCCTTTCCTCCCTGCTCCTCCCCTACCTGTGTGCACCGTGCGGTGACTGGCCAGGTTGCCCTTGTAGCGGAAGGCAGACCGGCAGAGCTGACACTTGTAGGGCTTGTCCTCATCCCCAGGAGCTAAGGGGTCCAGCCCCGATGAGCACCCAGCCACAGACTCGCAGTTTTGGCAGCTGAAAAATTCACTTCCTGGGAAGGGGGGTGGGTAATGACAACAATACCAGGGAATCCTCAGATCAGACAGTAGCAGGTTTTCTTTTTTCCCAATTTACTGTTAAGACTTCTGGGGCTCGTTTTATCTGCTCATGGTCACATGATTAGTAAGAAGGGAAGCCAAGATCTGACTCCATGTTTGTCTGTCTGTCTCCAGAGTACTCTGCTAATCTCTTCAATAGTGGTGGTGGTAGGTGGGGGTCCCTAGTAGTAGGTGGGGGTTTCTGTTTCCCTCTCCTCTCTTGCAGCACTCTGACAGCTTGTCAGAGAAGACCTGCCGAGCTCTGGGCTGACCACACAGCCCTGGACTGGGATGGGCCAGAAGTTTCCAAACACTGCTGCTCACTGGAAGCTTTAAAAAATACTGATGCCTTCCCAATACACCAAGGTTGCGGGTTTGATCCCCAGTCAGGGCACATACAAGAACCAGCCAATAAATACATAAACAAATGGAACAACAAATTGATCTCTCTCTCTCAAATAAATTTTTTAAAAACTCAAAAAAGATACTGATGCCTGACTTCCACTTCTAGACATTTTGTTCTATGGGTTATGACCTAGGCTATGGGATTTTTTTAAAGCTCCATAGGTGATTCCAATTTGCAGTATGTTATTAGAATAGGTCTTCCTGAGGTCTTTTGGCCCAAACTGGTCTTGTGCAGCCCCAGGGGAAAAGCCCAGAAGGAGGTAAAAGGAGGTGCTCTTACCTGGTGGTGGATGAACCCTCCCAGAGGGTGATGATACAGTGGCTTCCTGAGCCCAGGGTGTGAGATGGGGGGCATTGACTGGAGCCCCACATTTAAACTGTACAGTGGTAGCACTTGGAGAGAGCCTAGGTAGAGTAAAAGGTCAGGAGACATTATGTGGAGGGGAGCTTTTCTGCTCGAGAACTTGGAGCCAAAGGCCTATCCTCGGGAAGTGAGCCAATACTGACCAATGAGCCATATACAGTTGTGCTGCCAATGACCCAAAGCACTGAGTAAGCCTGGGCTCTGGCCGACTTCCTAAGGTGGGCTAGTGTCTCTGGAGCCCACCCACTCCCTCCCCCTGACCACCCCTGCCCAGTGGCTCTCCCTGCCTCCTAGCTGAGGTTAGCCACTACAGGTTCTTGGGGTTCCAGTTTCTGTACCTGCTCTGAGGACCAGGAATGGGCCCTTCTTCGCTGCCACTGCTGCTGCTGCTGCTGCTGCTGCTAGAAGCCTCATCTCCACTGGGGAGCCCAGCTTGGGGGCAAAGTTGACCAGAGCTCCTCTCCCCAGCCAGGCTCCCTGCTTGGGATGCCTGAGAGTTTAGCACGATGAACTTGTATTTTTTCCAGTTGCAGGCCTTGGGGTCTGGGCTGCCTGGACTGGGGGGGCCTTGACTGCAGCTGCGAGACTCAGTAGGTGGGTCTGGGTGCCCTTCGGAGCGCCTGGGACTGCCTGGTGGAGGGGCCGTTGGGGGCGTGGGGGGTTCTGCCTCCAGGGGCCGCGGGGAGATGCCCAGAGGTTCATAGCTGGGAAAAGTGGGATGGACATTAGTGCTATTTCCTAATCTTGGCCTCTGCCCTTGTCGCCTGGGATACCAACCACCGCACCCATGGAGAGCACCAAGCTGGGGCTCCTCACCTGGCCTGAATGAAGCGGTGGCATGCCTGGACCACATGATCCATCTGCAAGTAGGTGGCGGCCGCAAGAACGGCCGGTGCAGTGGTGGGAGAGAGTCGTAGGCGCGAAGTGTACATGAAGTCCAGAAGAGGAGCGAAGCCTCCGGCCTCGGGGCCCCCGGGCAGAGAGAGCACATCCACCCCAACTCCTGCACGGCCTCGGAAAATTGAATAGAAGAAGCCACTGGAGAAAGGGCAGATAAGTCATGTTAGGGGTTAGGGAACCAAGGAAGTAAGTGTCCCTACAGAAAGCCACGCCCCATGGAGAGCCCCGCCTCCTCCCCACTGTCACCCCGCCCCCAATTCCAGGACGCTCCGCCTCCTGCTTCTGAAGGGCTGGGCTTGGATTCAGTCCCAAAGACTTTATGGCTCCACCCCTTTCCTATTGAGTCCCACCCACTCCATCCCAAGAGGCTCCCCTCGAACCTGCAGGCGATGAGAACTGCCTTGTGAGCTCGAAGAGGTTGCCCGCCCACCAAAAGCGTGACGTCAGTGAGGATCCCGCGCAGGCGCAACTCGTTGAGGTTGCCGAGCACGTCGGAAGAGTGGCGCGTGAACTCGCGGACGTAGCCCAGCGCGCGCTGCGGGGTAGCGGCAGAGCCCATCGCGCCGCAGGCCTGCGGGAACCAGGGGTCCAGGCAGTCTCAGGACGCCTTCCGTCCAGCAGTTTGCCTCTGCCTCCTGAGGTGCACCTGGAGCCAAGCCCCCCGCCCTGGCTCCCGCAGCCTCACCTAATTCACCTTCTTTCTGCCCTCGACCGCACCATTGCTCGCTTTCCTCCTCTAGATTTGAAGGCCCCCGCACCGCGGTGTCGATGGCGAGCGTGGGAACTCCAGCCCACAGCGCCCCTAGTTCGACTCCTAGTGCCCTTCCAGCACCCCCCACTCCCCACCCCCACCCTACAACTCCCCTCCGCTCCACCGCGCTCCTGCGTCCCAGGTGTCCGACCCTGTCTGGAGCCCCACCTGAAGTTCCCTCCCCGAACCACGAATTCTACCACCGACTGTATAGTCCCGAAACCCTAGCTTCGCCCAGTTGTGGGGCTTCAACGTTCCTACCATCAACAAACCCCAGCCCTCTTCGCGGACCCAGGAGCCTGGCTGCCTCGGTCCCTCGTTCTTACCCCCGTCCTGCAGGGGCTGCGGCTCCTCTTCTCAAGGGGGTGGGGCCTCTCTCCCCTTTTGGCCTCGGCTCCTTTATCTGGCCGGGATGTCGGGGGCGGGGGTGGAGGTGGGGTGAACGCCTGGGTCTGTATCCTTCCTTCCTCCGTGGCTCTCCAGATGGCGAGCCCGGGGCGGGGTCTCGGCTCTAGGGCGGGACCTCAGCGACGCTGGGTGGTCGTAACCTAAGGGGTCTTGGGTCACCGAAGGTGGAATAATAGAGGATGGGACATTAGAATTGGGGAGAACGTTGGGGATATCCAGAGTAGAAATATGGGCGACTGGGTCGTGGACGGGGCCCGTGGGAGGAGGATTGTGTGGGGCCGGGACAGCGAAAATTGGTGTATTAGCCGTTGAAAGGGGCGCAAGGAGCCTGTTACAGGACAGCAAATACAGCAAAACTCCCTTTCCAGGGTGCGGTATTACGGGGTATAAAGGAGAGCTGAGCGAGGCACCAGGTTTGGGGAGGCGAGAGTGGGTTCCTGTGGAGTCCCAGCCAGCAGGAGGGGTGGTGTGAATGACAGGTTCCTCTAGCGGGGCCTACCCAAAGGGGGACTCTGACCGGGCGGGGTAGGGAAAGGGCGGATATGATTTCTAGTTTGTTTCCTTCCATTGTCCTGCGACCGGACGGCTCCTCCAGCTGCTTCCCCTCGAGGAGGTGGGGAAAGTCCCGGGTGGGAGCTCAGGAGACCTAGGCGTCCGGACTCTCGCTCCCGACTCCCTTCAGAATCCTTTTAGGGATCCAGAGAGAGAGATTCCCGCCCAAAGCCCGCTCGCGCTCCCCCAATCCCAGCCCACTAGGGCCTCGGGCACCCGCCGCTCGGCTACACTAGGAGACTGGCGGGACGCCGGGGTCCAGCGCGGCAAGCCGGCGAAGCTCGACAATGTCCGCCTCCTTCCACGAGGGGGCGCACGAACACTAGCTTCGCCTCGCCGGGTCGCTTCCACCCTGCAGAGGGGGGTCCACTCTGACAGGGGCTCAGGATCAATTCGGCCTGGACGGCGGAAACCTTCGTCCTCGTCCTTTTTGCGCTGGCTTATTTTGCCCCTCTGTCTCCTAGGAGGGAACTAGGGTTGGACAGAGGGAGGGAGAGTTAGGCGACAGAAGTGACTTTCCTCCGAGGCTGGGGTTCCTACCTGGGGTGAGAAATCCGACGGCTTTGGGAGCAAGGGAGATGGGTGGGACAAGGAGTGGGGTCTAAGCCCTGGGAGCACAGGGTTTTCCTTTTTTTATTAGTCTAGACACTATTGTCTGTCTTTAGAGGTGAATTTTTAGTGAACATTAATATGAAAGTTGGGTGGGGTGAACAAAGAGAAGGGTAAAACAGGGAGGTTCTCAGGATCAAAGAAGGGAGAGAAGGCAAGAGGGGCCTGATGACCCTAATTTTAAGTGCCTGACCTGGGACATAGGCACGGGTCAAAACTTCATATTTTGTTTGAGGAGATATTGGGTTGGTGGCGGGGGGGGGGGGGGGGGGGGAGGTGGGGAACAAGGTATATTTGGAGAGGGGAGGCCAGAGTGGAGTCCGGCTGCAAAGCAGGACTTGGATTTGAGTTTAGGAGTCTTCCGTTGCCCAGGAATGACTGACCATTTCCCGTGGAGTTGCATATCCAGGCCTGGGGCCCTCCCTTCAGATTTGAGGGTGTCTTTATTGGATGCACATAACAACTGCTGAGAAACTGGGAATTTGGAACCGCTAAGGATCCGGGACTGTTGGTGGCTTTTGATGTGAGGGTTACTTTGATTTCTGCCCAGTGAGGAGTTCCCTTTGGTGTCAGGATGGAGTTGATTTTGTGTTATCTGGTCAATTGTGGGGTGCATGTTTATTATGGGATGTTGAGTTACTTTGATTATTCTGGGCACTGGTGGGGATGCATTCAGGCTTGAGAGCAAATGGTAAGTTTGAGGCATGGAGCTGATTTTGAAGTTACATTAGTTTTGGGGATTCTGACACCCACAATTTGGAGATTGTCATGTTGAAGTATTAGAAGAACCTGCCAGGTGTTCTTGGGGAAGTGGACGAGGGTTTTGTTTTAAGGGATTAATAGTCATTGATGTATATGGACAATCTGATTTCAAGTACAGTAGTCATGCTGATTTGGGGGGGCATTAAGTTTTGGGGTGCCATGTATGTTTCAAGCCTCGAATTAGATTTGGGGAGACATGAAATTCAATCTGGAGTCTTTTATTAGCTTGCATTGGAACATAACAGGAACCTGGGAGTGTGTTTGAAGGCCGTCTATGATTGTGGGTTCAAGAGGGGGAGCAAAACTTTACATTTGAATGTTGTGGAAACTTATTTTGAGGAGGGGAAATTCCTGTGTATGCACAGACAGCCAGGAAGTTTTTTTTCCCAGGGATAGACACAAGACAAGGGTCCAGGATAGGAAATTAAAGTTTTGGGGTGTTCTTATTTGATGGTGTTTTGCAACAATTTTGGTGAAGCTGAAGGATGGATCATAAGGTGAGATTGATTTGGGGGTTCACTTAATTTGGAGCATGATGCTGGTTTGGGATGTCCTTTGCTTATAGCTCCCTTTTACCCCAGATTCTAGACATCTCTTTCTTTAGTGAACCCCAAATATGCTCAGGATTTGACAGGAGAAATTTGGAAAAGGGGTGTATTTCCTCTTAGTTCTATGTGGCCTAAATAGATCGGAGGGAGAAAAGGTGTTTTCAGACTCCAGACCCCAATTTCTTAAGGGAGCACACTTCAGTTTGTGAGAAAGTGGAGGAAAACGGGGTATCTTGTGATAAAGTGGACACCCCTGACTAGGTCCCTGCTGTTGGAACTGTGGTAAGGAGAGGTGGTGGGGGGGTACAAGGAGGTGGTTCTTGTACCCTGATTTTCTAGGATAAGAGCCCCAAACAGAAAGCAGACAGAGGACTGGGATTGTGGGTGAGATCGGGGGAGGGGTTCCTCACGGCAGCAGCAGGGGCTAGGGGGTCAGCCAGGCCAGCTCTGCACGCCTGGGTCCCTGCTCAGTTCGGCTCTCCTCCCCTCTCTCCCTCCCACCGCCCACCCCCACAACCCAAGGGAAAAAAACTGCCTGTGCAACAGCAATGGCAGATTCCAATCCTCCAGGCTTTCCTGAACCACCACGGAGACCAGCCAGGGGGGAGGGGAAAGGAGGATCGGGCTTTTCTGCTTCCCTAAGACTGGGGCTATGAGCTTGACCTCCTGGCCCCTAGCCCTTCGAGGAGTGCCCCCCCGGTCTGGAAGCCAGGTGTCCTGGACCCTAGCCCCCGAGCGGGGGGGCCTGGAGAGACGGGGAGGAGGGAGGAGGGAGTGACTTCCAAAATTGGCATCGGGACAGAGCAGGGCTGGCGGGAGGCAGGCGAAAGACGGAATTTTCCTGAAAAAACGGGGGTATCTGAGGACCCCAAATTTGGAGAGCTAGTCCAGGACTGTCCTGCCAACATCCTAGATTTTTTGGGGATTTTTTGGGGCCCCCGGGACCCCTCTAGATGGGGTGAGGAATGTAGTGTTGGGGGAATCTGACTGGGGCATTGCAGCTGCCTCTCCCGCCGAGTTGGACACGGATGGGCTGGGACGGGTTTGGGGGGGTGTCCCCAATTCTGACTGAGAGTGAAGGAACCCCCTTCTGAGCTCTCTTGTGGGGGTCCCCCCTCCCTAGGGCACTCCCCACTCCCTGAGCCAGCCGAGAGGAAGGAGGCCAGCGATGCGACTGGGGCAGCTCCTTTCTCCTGCACCCCAAATGTGAGGGATGCACCCCAAATTTTGCTCCCTTCAAAATAGGGGACCAGGATCTCAGGGGAGAGTAGCTGAGGTAAGTGGGGAGGAAAGTGTCCCCTGTTTTCAGGAGAGACGTGGCGGTTGGGGGGGAGGTTTGGAGGTGCGTGCTGGGGTGGGGTTGGGCTTTGTCAATCTTGGAAGTGGGGGGACAATTGGAGAGGCTTTCTCTTGTGGCCCTGAACTGCAGTCCCCCAGGTGAAAACCAAAGGCTGAGACCAGAGAGACCCCCAACATCCCCAGCCATTAGTAAAGTGCTTGATTTCTGTTTCACCCCCACAAAGGCTCTGCCGAGGGTGGGAGCTGGGGGCAGCTGTTCAGTTTGGGGGCCGTGGAGGGTGGGATGAGGAGCAGGGGCCTTGGCAGGACTTGATGTAGGAGAGACAGGGGTGTCAAGGGAGGGGGTCTGGCATCCCCAGGGCCTAAAAAGACTGCTTACACCTACCATCTTACATCTTTTTGATTGCTAAGAGTTTTGGGGGTGTGTCGAAAGGGAGGGTGGTAAAGGGGGTGATGGGAGGTGGGAAGAGAACTTTTGGATTTTAGAAGGTATTATTTTGACTTGCGGAAGGGACTTTGGCCCTTGGATTTTGATTTCTGGGGGCTGCTTTTTAAAAACCAAGCCCTGGGCAGGAGAAAGAGGCCGAGGGAAGGCCTAGGGTGGGGGTGGGGAGAGGCATGTTTGTCTCAGCTTAAACGTGGCTTTCTGGGGTGGGCCCGCCTTCCAGGTCCTGACGGATGGGCTGATGGGGGTTGTTGCGCCGGGTGGGACTTGGGTCTGGGGGACCATGGAGAGTGGAACAGAGCTGGGGGTCGGATACCTGGCCCCCAGGTCCAGAAGGTCCTCTTCCTGGGCCCTGCTGCTCCCCTTTCCCCCGGCCTCCATTTCCTGCCCTTGGCCTCCATCTTGTGGCAGGCCCAGGGCGACTTCCGGCCCCCCTCTCCCAACCACGTGCCGGCCCCACCACCTCTGGATTGCCAACTTCCAACCCTGCTGTCCTTGGCTTCTTGTCTCTCCTTGCTTTCTCTTGGGTTCTGACCCAGAGAGGGGAGGAACGGACACAGGAAGCCTTGGGTCCCTGCCCTTGCTGACTCGGGAGGCAGTCTCTTGGTCCCCCATAGTCATTCCCTATTTCCTCCTCTTCTGACCCCACCCAAGGGATCCCCTGAGCAGTTTCCGCAGAGGGAAGATGGTTCCAGTCTTATACTGCGGACCCGCCCCTTAGGCCTCTCTCCCTCCATTTGCCTGCGCAGGTCCCAGCCCTGGTTTCTTGTTTTTCCCAACCCCTCTTGGGGCCATGTTGCCTTTTATGCCTTCTTTGTCTCCCCGCTCTTGGTGGTGGGGGTCTTCCCAGCACTGTCTCATGCTCCCTTCCTCTCAACCCACCCCAGTCCTGCTCCCGCCCCAGCAGCACACTGTGGTTTGTACGGCACTGTGGCCACGTCCAAACCACACTGTGGTGTTAGAGCGAGGGTGGGGGAGGCACCGCTGAGGCTTGGCCCGGGAGGCCACCCTGGAGAAGCGACACAAAGGACATCTGGGGCCTGCTTTTGAGGTTGGGGTTAGGGGGCGGGGGAAGGGAGGTATGAAAGCAGTGGAAACAGCCCCTCTGAAATCCCCAGGGCAGTCACAGGAATACTGACTGCTAGAGACCCTGGAAGGAAGTTCTGCCTCCAGAGAGCAAAGTGAAGTCTTTGTTCCCCACGCCCAGCTCCCCTGGCTCTAGCAGCACAGAAATATTGGCACTGGGAAGAGTGCCTGCCAATATTGGCTGAGCTGCTCCAGGCAGGGCGGTGAGAGCTGCCGAGCAGGGGCTGAGCCCCAGGGGGCTAAGGGGAGAGCGAATGGTCCCTTGTACTCCAATGATGTTAAGTGAAGACACCAAGCTGAGGGAAATCTTTATTATTCTCTGTATAAAAGTGTCCATCAGATGCAAATCGAAGGGGTAAGGGGCAGGTGCTTATACAGGAGCGGCAAGGGGACAGCCCCGGCAGTCTTTCGACCCTCTCTCACGTAGGCCTTGGCCAGAGTCCTAGGTGACCCACAGCTCCAGGGTGAACGCTGAGAGGGGTCAGAGGCGGAAGGCTCAGCGAGACAGCAGAGGAGGTTCAGCAGAGGTCATGAGAAGGCCAGAATCCAGGGTCAGGCTGTCTGGAACAGGAAGTAAAATGGGCCGAGATGGAGCGAGCCTCAAGTAGGCCTCCAAGACAATTCCTGCCTCCCCAAAGCCCCCGGCTCTTTACTGATCCAACCGCCTGCACTGTGTATGAGAGACCTTTCTCTTCCAAAGCCCCTGTACAAGGAAGGGGACTCCTGCTGAGACCCTCCCCTACCATCCAAGTGACACTTCCTCCCCAACCCCTTCAGCTGGTGTGGGAGAAGGACTCCTACCCTGGTCGAAGTTGAGTTTCTTGGATGGAGGAGTTTCTCCTAGCCCTTCAATGTCCACCAGGTCACTGTTGGCGTCGGAGTCGTTCAGAGCACTGAGTGTCACATCTGGGAGGGGGGCATAAGCTAGGTTCTAGGTTCCCTGACTGTGGTCCTGGTTTCCCAAAACTTCAAGCTCTCCCTCCCTCCCCGACCCCAGCCACTCTCTGGGAACCTTCAGTGGGAGAGGAAGACAGGTGTCCATCTTTGACCCAAGCCCACTTCTCTCACTGAACCTCTGGTGGGACTTTAACTGCTAGGCAGCAACTCCCAGCCCTCACCAGCTTTCTGTTTCTTTATGGGGGGACCCCCGGCCTCAGGGACACTGGAGCTGCTTAGTGGAGGGGCAGCTGAAGGAGGCGACAAGACACCAGATGCCACCTTCTTGGGCCCTTTCTTGGGTGACTCAGCTGGAAGGGGGACACCAGAGTCTTCATATACTTTGCGCTTCACAGTGGCCTTTATCTGAGCCCTGAAGAAAAGAGAGAGCAGGTTAGGGAGTCATCATTAGAGAGGCTTAGGGAAGAAGGGAGGGGAGGGGCAGGGATAACGGGCCACTCTGAAGGAATAATGGGGAGCCCCTTCAGAACCTGGATAAGCATCCAAACTAGGGTCCTAACCCTTTGGTAGGGTCTCATTTTCCTGAAGCTTTTCTTACTTAAAAGACTCACTTAGGGCAGATGGATTGTAAAGAGTGAATTCCCTGAATCGAGTAGTGGGAAGGGCCCATCTCTGAATTCTCTTCTGGGAGAGAACTACGGATGTGAAAGGCTAACAGGTAAGCCTTGCTGATCTACAGGTAAATTCTGATCAACTAGTTCAGAATCACAGTATCCCTGGAAACATGGCAGCAGAGTCTCAAAAGATCTGTGTAAATAGCCAGGCAACTCCTGTTACCAAATTAAATTATCTTAGGCAATATAAAATCAAAATCTTGGGAGGTCCTGATTACCATAGTATTTTAATAACTTCTGGCCAATTGTGACAATTCTTTTATCATTCAGTCCTCAAGGGGATACTAACGAAGCTAGCAACAAAACAGAAAGTATGTTGAGTTGGAAGTTTTGAAGATGGAACAATGGGTATGGAGGAAAAAAGCCACCCACCCCCCTCTTTCGCTACCAGCCACCCCTCCCTCACACTGTCCGTTCCTTGATGACACAGCTGATGTGATTAAGATCGTCCCCAAACCGCTTCACAGCAGCCCTCAGCATCTCTATCTCCGTCTCCGTCCACTTGGCACTGTCAGAAGGGGAGAGGGGAACAGCGAAGTGGGAGGAGGAGGGGTGTGGAGCCAGCCTCCAGGCAATGCATTCCACAGCAATCAACCTCCTCCCCCTAATCCCTGGGGCCTCTCCCAGGGATCCATAAAGAGGTCCTCCTTAAAAAAACAAACAAACAAACAAAAAAAAACCTTAAGACCCCGTGGGACCCCAGGACCCCCAACCACATGATATTGCAACAAGGGCTACCTTGTAAGAAAGCCTCCTCCCCATCATCGTAAAGCAGCTTCTGTAAACTGCCCACTGAAACCAATTCAACACGGGGGTGGCAGGTGGGGGGACTTCTTACAAACAGAACACCTGAGCACAGTCTGCAGCAATTTGAGGGAATTCCACAGGATTTGGGGTGGGTGGGTAGTGGTGGTGTCTATGGTCTGCAGGTTCGGGTTGTGAGCCTCAGTCTGGTTTTATCTGTCGTTCATTCAGCAATCATTTAACATCCACTCTGCGCTGTGCCAGGCACAAAAGCAAACTAAAACTACCATCTGTCCTTGTCCTAGAGAATGTCCGTGTCAGTGATCGAGTCCAAGCATCCGCACTCCGCGTGCACGTCCCAGCCCGGGCTCACGTACCCCGCGGGGGAGGAGTCGGCCACGGGATGCAGCTGCATCGTCAGCTCCCCAAGCTTCGTGAAGGCGGCTCCCGCCGCGGAGAAGATCTCTCCGACCTGGGGGCGGGGCAGCATTACGGGGGGCCGGAGCACACCCCCGCGCCGTCCCGCCCGGAGCCCCAAGCCCCACCCCAGGCTCGATTCCCGCCCGCTTCCCACCCGCCTCCCGCGCCCCACTCTCCACGCTAGGCGGAAGAGCCGGCAGCCAACGGGGTGGGGGCGGGAACGCCCTCCCCTGGCCGCCAGGGAGCGCTATCCTCAGGGCAGGTCGAACCTTTGTGGACGCTGACGTCATGGCCCCGTGCGCCTCCGGCACGGAGACGCTGCTGCCACCGCCGCCGCCGCCGCCGCCGCCGCCACGGAGCCGGGACCACAGAAGGCCAGAGGATCAAAACTGCTTGGACACGCGCAGGAAGTCCCGCCCCTCCCTGCAGATGACTGGCTCAAACTGGACGGCTCAGCCTCACCAGCTGCAGTTACTGGCGCTGCCTTGGCGCACGGGGGCAGTGGCAGACCCCGCCTCACTTCCGGTCCGGCTTCCCTCTACTTCCGTGGAGGAGTTAAGAGTTCCCTACTTGGAGGCGGATTCCAGCCCCAGTGCCCTCCTCTCCCAACCCAAGCACAGACACAAGGCTTAGGAGAGCAGTTTCTCTTTATTGTGGTACAGGAAACGGTGAGGGAGCCGGAGGGACAAGTGACAGCCAGCCCCAGTCTCCCTCCACTGGAGCCGGGCCCCAGAATGGGATTAGCAAGGGGTAGGGAGAGTCTTAAATAGAAGAGGGGGCTGAAGAGCGTAAATACTACCAAGCTCTATCGCACCATATATTCCTTGCGCTTATTGAGCCGAACTTGACAGAAAGAGAAGCCACCGAGGAGGAGGTAAAGGCCTGCAGCGATGAAACAGTTGTAGCTGACTTGTTCGTATAGGTCGTATATGTCCTGGGGGCCATTCCTAGGGGTGGGAATTAAGCCGAGAAGTGTCAGAAACATTAAGAGTAGCCAACATTTACTGCGTACTTACTATGTGCTAGGTACGGGTTCTAAGTGCTTTTACGTGTATTGTCTTGTTCAATCTTCACCCTATGAGGCGAGTTCTATTACAGCATCCACTTTGCAGAGGACAGAGGCACAGAAAAATCAAGTAATATACATAAAGAAGCCTCAACTAAAGTGGTGGGTTTAGGCTGGCTTCAGAGATTCGCCTCCCAAGAAGACCAATGTGAACTGTATACTAAATAGAACAGTTCTCTGCACCCAGTTCCTCAGCCACGGAGCCCCAAGCATCCCGCCTCCTGCAATTCCCCGCCCATAATTCTGACCACATACTCAGCCACTTTCCACCTACTCCCAGTCCCACCTCTCCCACCTAACACTTACTCAAAATCTTTCTCCGTGAAGGGAACGTCCTCAATGAGCACAGCGGAATGGACGTTGAAAAAGATTCCGAGCATTATCTGAAAACAGGGAATGGATAGGTTTGACCTCAGGCACCCGACCCGGTCACTCATTAAACTCCTTCCACTTCTAATGTTGCCACAACATCTGGGTTTGAGAATTAACAGGATGCGCTGGGATTAGCGGTGGCTATTGCTGAACGTCTACTCAGTCACCCGGCACAGGGCATGAGGTGGTGACAAAGAGACGACTTGGCGGGGGCAAGGGCAGGAATAGCGAGTAACCCAGGAACCCAGATTATTCTCCTCTCCAGAGGCGTCATTATCACGAGGCAAGGCAGAAGGGATCAGGGGGAATCGGCCCTTACTTCTTCCTGGAGTGGGGCGGGTAGAGTCTTGGGGGAAACAAGGTCCCAGCTACCCATTTCGGGAACAAGCGCTCCCTTTTCTCCATGCCCCTCCATTCAGTTTAAGCATTTCTCAAGAACCCAGCTCTTCCTCTTACCTTGAGGGGGTCTCCAAATTTACCAGCCAGGGATCTCATTCCAAGCTCCAGCTCCCTCCCCCACTACCCGCCCCACTCCAGTTCCCCATTTCTCAATCTCAGTTCTGTCTCGTTCTCCAGCGACTAACCAACCATCCCCTCCAACCTGCGTGCTGATTTCTAAGGCCTGAAGTCTCCTAGCCTTCCATCCCTCCAACACCAGGCCCCTCAGTCCCTCTCCAGTTCTCGTCGGCTAGTCCCCTCACCAACATGATCACTCCCCAGGCGCTGAGGACGATGCCGCAGGCGGCCAGCTTGGGCCCACAGCACAGAAGCGACGCCATGAGAACCCCGCCAAGGGATTCGGGGATGGTCCAGATATGGACCAAGTTAAAGGCGGTGAAAGGAATCCCCGATGGGCCCGAGCAGGAAAACCGTGGTGGATTCGGGGTCTAGCGCTGTGTGGATAGAAGGACCGGACGTCGGCCGAGGGGCGTGGCCTCGGGCCGAACCTTCGTGAGAGTTGGGGGGTGGCGCCAGGAGGAGAACGCTGGGCGAGTTGGGCTCCTTCCCAGACTTTGGAGGTAAAAGGCGGTGTCTGAAATAAAGCAGTCTCTCCGGAGTCTCCTATTGACCCAAGTAATTGGGACGCGAATATAATAGTAGCAAGGGACTAAGGATTCTTGGTTCCCCCTCTCTAGGTTGGAATGGAAAGAGCCTCCATGTCACCTGACCCATTTTGGCAAGTCACGTGAGGAGGAACCCCAGTAGGTGTTTGGGAGCTGAGGGCGTTGCAGAGCTGCTGGTAACCTTGGCGTTGGGGGTTTGGTAGCGGACGATCGAAACTGCTATTCCCCTCACATACTGTAGTTTCGGGTAGTATTCTGTGCTGGGGAAACGGTAAGTGAGACACAGAAATTAATGCCGAGAAAGAACGCCTATATCTCCTCTCGTCCCTACGTTTAACATTAGATAGTCTGACACTGTAAAAGGAAATAGGAGACCCTTCCTGAAGTCAAGCGTGCTGTTCTGGCTAGAACGCTTTAAAATTGCAAAGGGTTCTTGGCATTGGAAATACTTAAGTAACTTTTTGTTACCAAACATGGAATACTAAGTAGCTTTGGATGCCAAATCCAGGAAAAATATGGGCGTTAGGGAAAAGCCTAGGGGAAGTAGACTTTGAGTAAGTTGTGAAGGTGAGTGTCTGCTAAATGTAGTGGAGGAAGAAATAATACACAAAATGTCACTTTGCTTCCCTATTGTAAACTAAGGAAACGGGTGATAGGTCCGTTGAGTAAGATAGGGTACACGATTTTAAAAATAGGAACTGATCATCCACTCCAAGGAAAATGTTTGTATACTTCACTGGTTAGAGAGGTTTGTAATAATGATTTAGGAAAACGGGTGTTTGAAGGACACAATTTTGCTCTGAGCTTGTACCCAGTCCAGTGAAGACAATGATCATAGCATAATTGAGAGGAAGCATTTTGATCCCAAGACCCTGGAACTAGACAGAGAAACAGTGGCTAGCGTAAGTTCATGATATTTTTCCATTTATTTTGTGCATACGGTTCTATAAAGGGTAGTGAAAGAGAATTTGGAACCCGGGGCATGTGTAGAGACTCCAGTGTCCTAAAGGAGCTGGGAAAGTGTCCTTGAGACATGAATTTCGTGTCTCTTCTCTTTGAGACTTTGGGGAAGGAAACAAAGTTTTTATTCTGCTTTAGGAGCACCATTCTTATTCCAGGACTTTTTAGGGGGTAGGTGTGTGAATAGGAGGAATAGGGGTGGAGGGAAAGTTGTCAGAGAACAGAATCAGGAATTTTTAAGTTGGCCACCAAACATGAAATCTAGCTCCTGGGAAAGGAGAAGAGGCTGAAGTAGTTCATTTCTCTAAGAAAGCTCCTCCACCTGCCCCGAGGGCCTTCTCTGGGTGTTTGCAGGCAGGATCAGCGCCTCAGGCTAGAGCAGGGCATCCTTGTCCAGGCACTGCCACCAAGGGCCAGATTCAGCCTGCAGCTTGTGCATGTCTCTTTGGCAAGCACAGGGGTTCTTATTTGTTTGTTGCATTTTTAAGTGGTTCACTAAACCAAAAGAATTATTTAGTGACACTGTCCATATTTCACTGTCCATGAATAAAGTTTTATTGGAACACAATCACACTCATTTTCGTATTGTCTGCAGCAGCTCTTTGCTACAGCAGCAGAGTTGAGTAGTTGTGACAGAGACTGTGTGGCCTGCAAATCCTAAAATTTTTATTTGGCTTTTAACAGAAAAGGTGTCCCCCGCTCCCGTCCCCTGGCTAGTGGGATACTGATGTAGAGGATTTAATTGGGAGAGAAAATAGAGCCCTAGCAACAGAGACTTAGCAAACCATGAAATTCAAGCTAGAAATGGCAGTCCTAGTTTTCCAGGTGTGGGCACCTTAGAGCTCAGCTAGTGATACTGTTCTCTATGTTACTGGGCTTTAAGTATTCGTAGGGTAGGTCACGTTGCTCATTCTGTGCTGTAATTTCCCTTTCCAGGTTTTCCAGGTCTGTTTGGAATTGCTTCAGTACAGCCTCAGCCTTGGAGTCTGAGAAATACTTCTCTTTGTGATGCCCCAGAGGCACCTAAGATAGAACAAAGGGTCAGTCAGTTTCTCGTGGGAAGGCAGAAGCACCTATAGCCTAGCCCTTAACTTTGATGTTTCCCTTCCATTGTTATCCCTCTTTCCCTAGAGTCCTCTCTTACCATGCCTGGCTGGCGTCGACTGAGATGCCATGTGATGGCCATTTGAAGACAGGACTTGTGGACATCAGGTAGGGAGTCCATTACTGTCGCCATTGTCACATCTTCCTTGGTGGTGGGTGGGGGCATTCGCATTGTGCATGGGGCATTAGGAACCCAGGCATACCAGTCCAGCTGGGGGAAGAAAGTACAACTCTAGGATCCCGGTACTTAGGGTTCGAATCCCCACCTCTCCCTTGGGCATTCCAGGGTCCTGACTCTTGCCTTCAGGGACCTGGGCTTTCAGCTCTTCATACCTGGCACTGGTTGATGGCTGCGTGCTGGGCAGTACATGTGAAAATGCACATGGTTAGGAAGTGGCAGAGTTGACTTCGGGACTGGAGGGAAACAGGGAAACCTGGGCAGGAAAGGAATAGGATTTAGAGGGTACAGCATGAGAAGAGAGAAATAAAGGTTGATGTCTTTGTATTTCTTCTGTATTTTGGAATTGATGGGTATTGATTCATTTATTCAAATGTATTTGCATCAGACGTGTGTTTCAGTTCAGGCTCAAGCAATATAGTTTGGTTCCCTTAGGCCAGTTAACTTCTCTGAACCTCAGTTTCTTCACAGGTAAGTTGTAGATGATACTTACCTTATAAATGAGATAATGTATCTGGTACGTAACAAGTGCTGAGTAAATAGTAAGTATTGTCATTATGGAAAGATTGGGGGCTGAAAAGGTTGAGTGGTCCTCTGCCTTAAAAAGTGGTTAAGAATTTAGGGCTGCTTCCTCCTATTCTCAGACATAGAATTACAAGTGCCCGAGTTATAAGAGGAATAAGAGAAGCCCTGGATGGTCCTGGCTGGGTAGCTAGGTCGATTAAAGAGCATCGTCCCAATACGCCAAGGTTGCGCATTCCATCCCCAGTGAGGGCACATACAAGAATCAACCAATGAATGCGTAAAGGAGTGGAACACCATATTGATGTTGCTCTCTCTCTTTCCCTCTGCCCCTCTCCCTTCCTCGCTCTAAAATTAATAAAATGAAAAAAGAGAGACAGAAACCATGGGTTTCTAGTGTCACAGCCAAGAGAGGCTTCCCACAAAGGTTATCTCAGGCCATTCATTTTTACAGTGGAGGTGGGGACTCAGAGACCCCATAATCCTGTCAGTTAAGTAGAACAAATAAAATCACTCCCCTTTGATAGATTTTTTAAAAAAATCAAAGACCAGAAAGAATAAACTGCTTGTCAGGACACAGCTGGGAAAATGTAGAGGCTGAACTCAAATCTCAGACAGTTTTTAATTTTAGCACATTTCCCCTACAAGTCTGTTGGGAAAATTAGGCAAAGGTCACCTATGAGAACTGGGGGATAGAGAATGAGGGGCACTGAGTAGAGTTCAAGTTAACATGTGAGAGGTTTATTTTTTTAAATGTAGCTGAAGCTAGTTGGGGAAAAGATGGCCAGAGAGAAGAAGAGACTTTTGAGGGCCTGTGGCGCCTAAGGGACAGTGCTGAGATGTCCTAGGGAAAGTTTGGTTCGGGGAGGGTGGGGCGGCACAGCCTCAGATTCCTCAGGTGCGGGGACTGGCTTGGCGTTCACTGCATCCCCAGGGTGTGGCCATAATGGCTCCCCAGTAAATGTCTGTAGTTGTCCCACAGAAGCAGAGATGTTGGGGTGAGGCGTGAGGAGCAGGGACTGAAGGACGAGTTGAAGCAGTCCAGGTTGGCCCGTGTGTGTGAGGGAGAGCAGAATGAACCTAGGAGAGCCCAAGAAAGGCTGTTTCCTCCCTAGTAGTTCAATGTGGCTTGGGGTGCTAGAGCTAGTCCCGGAATCCTGCGCTAGTGCTGGATCCTAGTAGGGGCAGGGGAAGATAGATTAGCCAAGGAATGTGAGCCCCAAGGGACAGGGAACCAAGTGTGAGTTTGAGGCAAAGCATGCGCAGTCTTGAGTTCGCACCTAGAAATGCCCTGGCCCTGGGGTGAAGCGTGCGGTATGCCTGGGCCCTCTGTGTGTGCTGGGCGGTAGCAGGAAGGAGAAGAGAGGGAGCATGGAGTGGGCCATTGCGGGATTTGGTGGAAAAAATCTTCCCATTCATATCCTCAGGTAGGAAAATAGATTCCATGAAGAGAGATGTGAGTCCCAGCTGGACCTGGCCAGGTCCCCCACTGGCTGTGGTTGTGGACCCACCGGGCCCCGTGCTGTGGCAGGTTGGGGCATCTGTAACTAGGCATGGGGGGTGGACATAAAGGCTGATGGCCAGGGTCTCTGAGGAGGATAATCTTTGTGCTTCTAAAATTGTCCTGAGTCCTAGGAGGTGGGAATGGGATCTAGATGCTTCATGTGTGGAGGGAAAGGGGGTGACGAGTGGTTGGGGTCACGTCCCCAGAAGGGCGAGGCTGACAAGGGGCTCTGGGCAGAGCGTCCGAGGAGTTCCTTCTCTGGGGAGGAGTCTCACCTTTGTCCTGGGCCTGGCAAAGCCCCACCTCAGTGATCTCCCGACACCAGGCCTGAAGCTCAGGGTCCCCTCTCACAACATCATCCCCGTGGTAGAAGAGGTGGACGATCCCCTCCACGTACCTGCCCGTGGGAGAAGGGAGTTGAGCTCCTTGAGAGTAGAAGGCTGTAGCCTCTGACCGCTACTCCTTTTCTGTGGCCTCTAACAGATTCTTACTATGTCTGGATATAGATCCTTCTAGACTTGCCTTTTGGGACATTCCCCAACTCTTTCTACACACTAATGGGAAAAGGAATGAAACGTGGGGCATTATTTCTAGAAATTCTCTATACATGGTCGATAGCCATTCTTCCTGACAAGACCCCTGATTTGTCCAGATCCCTCAGCCTCCCCACCCATAGCTCTCCCTGCCTAGGCTGTCTACCCCCATCCTGGTCTCCTCCTCTTCAGACTCGACCCACTGACTCCTCGATGTTCCTCATCTCTCCCAGAACTGAGTGCTCTGCTCCTTCTGTCTGGACCTTCTTGTTTCATGATCCTTCTGCCCCACGCTGACCTCAAACCAGAGCCCCACTCTCCCTCTCCCCAGTGCCCGTCCATTTCTTCACTCCCACCGTCACCCACCGGGCAATGACTTCCCACAGCCGTAAAGCATCGTGGGCATAGAAGGCACGCGGGATCCCCAGGAGGCCCCGGTCAGCCAGATCGTCAGGAGGACAGAGGGAGCGGTAGGTCAGCTGAGCCGTAGCCCGACAGAGCAACTGTATGTGGCCCCCACCACCTGTGCTCATTCCCTGGGAAAAGAGACCAGAGGCCTTGAGGAAGACAGAGCATGGTATACAAGAGGTTCAGTTGTGGGGGTTCTCACATTTAAACACATGAGTGTAAGCCCTGGCTGGTGTGGCTCAGTGGATTGAGTGCCAACCTGCGAACCAAAGGGTCGCTGGTTTGATTCCCAGTCAGGCTCATGCCTGGGTTGCAGGCCAGGTCCCCAGTGTGGCAACGTGAGAGACAACCACACATGGCTGTTTCTCTCCCTCTCTTTTCCCCCTCCCCTCCCTTTCTCTAAAAATAAATAAATAAAATGTTTAAAAAATAAACAATTTAAAAAAATAAACGTGAGTATAAAGGGACAAGGCTCCTGTGGTTAAGGGTCAGGGCATTCACACCGGTCAGTCTGGAATCTTGAAAGTGACAGGCGGTCATGCAGAGTTGGATGATTAAGTGACCCCACACTCCGTCCCCTCCTTACCATGTCAAATATACCTCCTTCTTCGATGAGTTGTTTCCGTCCCCGGGTGTTGATCTCCATGGTGTAGCGGGTGTGTGGCATCAGGAGCTGGATGGAGAAGATTGGAAGAGTGGTTTGTGGAGGACACGCTTGGGCCCTTCTTAGCGAAAGGCACTCAGCATGGTGGCCTTCTGTCCTCTTGATGCTCGCCTCGCTGCTGGTGCCTTTGCAGGCTGGTCTCCTGCTTCTCTGAGCATGCATTCCCGTGCTCTGTATTCCCCCGTGAGTCAGGCTCTTGAGCCAAGTGGACCTAAGTGTTAATCTACACTTCACCGCTCACTTTGATCCTTGCCCAAGGCAGTGGCCCCCTGGGTGTTAACCTGTCTCACCCCCGATCATCCAGCTGCCAGCAGAGGGTGGTAATAGGGTTTCTTACCTCAGGAGGCCGTGGTGATGCTTAGGTGAGTGATACTTGAAGGAGTCCACGCCTCAGCTGTTACCATTTATCTTATTTGCACCTTGGATGTTGATGATTTTTAAGAATCTGCCCCTTTTGATTTTTTATACTTCTATCATTTGCATCCTCATAGCTTATAATTACCTCTCTACTCATCATCAAAGCCACATCGCCATCCTCTGGTCGCTTCACTGTGGGTTTTTGGGGGGTAAGTACCTTTAGTCAGAATAAGAGGAGCTGTTCTGAGCTCCCTACTTGAGCAGTAGAGGGGTTGTTGTCACATCTGTCCCACTCCCAATTAGGCCCTCTGTATTTTTTTTTAAAGGTTTCATTTTTTATTTATTTTTAGAGAGGGAAAGGGAGGGAGAGAGGGAGAGAAATATTAGTTGCCTCATGTATGTGCCCTGACTGGGAACCGAACCCACAACCCACACACGTTTCTCTGGGAATCGAACTGGCAACCTTTCACTTTGCAGGTCGATGCCCAACCAACTGAGCCACATTGGCCAGGGCTACCCCCTCTATTTTGAATAGCTTTAAAAAAAATAGCCTGGGTATTAAAAAGGCCACCTGATCCTCACATTTCTTTTTATGTCAGACTATTTTGTCTTCATTTCCACCCAGTTTATATACAGGTTTCGTGTAGTGTTGGTATTTATCTGAGTTGGAACTGGACACAGGGAATGACCCAATGATACCTCTGGTGTCAAGATGTCAAAGTAGCTCATATTAGTCTGAAACTTTTCAGAAAGTTCATGAAAGACACTGAATGTCGTAGAAAGCCCAAAGTCCCCTTGAGGAGAGGAGGTATCTGAGGACAAACTAAGAAGAGTAATACTAATTGCAAGAACTGATGGTTTCTGTAGCTTTCAGCCTGTTACATTGTTATGTCATTTTATCCTTAAACAACCCACGGTGGAGCTCCTGTTGTCCTCATTTAGAGATGAGCACACTGAAGCAAACGTCTGGTAAGTACTGAGGTCAGGATTCAGGATTTAGACCCTGGCAGTCTGCACCAGAGCCTGCCTACGTAAGCTTCACGACATTTGCAGGTTAGTGCTCTGGTGGGGTGAGTGGATATAGGCGTGGAGAGGGATGAACTGGTAAAGAGGGATTTCAACTGTCAGCAGAGCCTTAACCTATTCAGGATGAGCAGAAGATGGTGATGCAGGAGCACCATGAGATCAGTAAAAGCCAAGATTCTATTAATCACACTAGTTTCTATCTTATCTGTGTTACCCCAGACTCAGTGAGGCCATAGCTACTACTGGCCAGGGTAGAGGGGTCAGGGTATAGGCCCCGAGCTTGAGACATTCACTTCTCCTTACCCAGGTAAGTACGAGTTTGCGGTGCTCATTTGCATATCTTGCCAACATTTCAAACTCCATGAACCTAACACTGAGTACCTCATATTTGTTTCCAACCTGGCTTCTTACAATGACTTTGCTGTTTTTGACAATCACTCTGGTTCATAAGCTCATATCAGTATTGTCCTGTCTCTGCCATATTCCCTATATCTGAAATTCACCAAGGTTTTGGGGAAACCTTTCAGCAAGCACAGTTTTATTTTGCTGCTTTCTGTCTAGCAGTAGATACTGAGCTCGCTCTTTTTATAAAATTACAACACACCTACCCTGTGGGCTCCTGGTTGTTGCAGCTTAGATCTCTGGCCTTTCTTCAGTCTTATTCTCAGGCATGTGCACCCGCTGTTTCCTCCCTTCACCAAGTCTTTCTTTTTTCCCCCCTTCTTGTTCCTGTTACCGCCTTACATGTCTTTCTCCATCTCTCTCCTAGGAAGGTATAAGTAACCTACAGGGGTGCCCTCCTTGCCTTTCCATCTGCTCCTGCAGCAGACTTCTCGGTTCGGGTGGGACATTCTCCATTCATACTATTAATGTTTATAGGCTGTCTCTTGTGATTTTAAATTCTAGTTCCAGATACTGCTCTCTGGTTGATTCTTACGGGCATCACTTGCCTTCCTGGATAAACAGTAAATATCCTAAGACAGAAGCAAGGATTTTGTTTTACGAACAATATTCCAGCAATACTCCAGGCTCATTGCACGAATTGTCAGTTCTCTGGAACTTCAGAGGGTTCTCTTATAACATGTTCTGAAGAAACATTAAATGACTTGATGCAATTAAAATACAGGTCTTAAAATACTGATACAGTCTTCTGCTTGTCCCTCTTTCTTTCACAAATTGGCATAACTATTGTTTGCTGCAGCAGTACCATTTGATACTGGCTCTTTCCTCTCTCAGATGAGATGGGACTTGAAGGGTAGGTTTACCTTGAAGATGGGGTGCAGTCCTGGGAGACACCTCATGGTGGCGACAGCGATAACTTCAGCCACCAGATGAGTGTTCAGTAGATGGTACTGGAGCTCGTGCAGTTGGAAATCTGAACTTCTGACCCAGGACTTTGCCAGGAGCCAGGCAAGTGGCGGGTCTGAGGGCAGGAACAGCGTTGGGGTTGGGGAGCTGGGGTTGGGAGGCTGGATCTGGGGAAAATAAACATTTGTTGAACTTCCACTTGATGTGTGACAGTATGGTCAACATTCAGAGAGAAACAGAGAGGAGTAAGAAAGATTATTATTTTTCCAGGAGGTTATAATGCAGTAGGAGGAATGAGGACCCTCCCACCCTGCCTCTCACTAGCTGTGGGTCATATTGGTACCGTAATGGTCAGGTTGAATGCAGGAGAGTCAGAACAAGAGTGCAGTAAGTAGATTCTAACAGTGGGAGAAACATGGTGGGGTTCTGAGTTAGAGTGGGGGAATGAGAAGGAGAAGCTGGGCCCTGCCTGGGTAGCTCAGTTGGTTAGAGCACAGCCCCGACACGTCAAGGTTGTGGGTTTGATCCTCAGTCAGGGCACATACAAGAATCAATGAATGCATAAATAAGTGGAACAACTATTCAATGTTTTCCTCTCTCTTCTAAAATAAATTTAAAAAAAAAACAAAACAAAAAAGGAGAACCTGGATGTGTGAGATAATTGACAGTACTTTTTTACTGACTGTTGAGAACTTTGGGAGAAGACACAGTCAGGAAACAATGGGTATTTAGAGTCAAGGCTACTGAGAGATTAAATAGTGATTCTCGCTGTGCATTCCCAAACTAGCAGCAGCATCATCACTTTGGAACTTGTTAGAAAGGCAGATTCTCAGTTCCTGCCCCGGGTCTACCAAATCAGAAAATCCAGTGGCAGACGCAGCAGCCTGCGCACTAATGCATCAGGTTTCCTAATGCACACTGAAGTGAGAACCACTGAGTGGAGCATGGGAACTCCAAAAGGCCACTATGACTCCTGAACAAGTACTACCAGTTGGGTGAGTCAGGGGAAACCAGGCTGCAAATAGCGACATGAGGACATGCTCCACTGTGTGAGGATGGAAGTTGGCAGCCAAGAGCCAGGGGGCTGGGCCCCCGAGAGCAGAGGTCGGGGTGAACAGAGAGCAGTGCTGGGAGGAGGATGCCCGGGACACCTCACCTGGATGACCATGGGCAGCAGCTTCCCACTGGGTTCCATCTTCAGCATCACGAGGGGGGCAGCCACGTACTGCTGCTCTCCTCGGATCACGTTGGCTGGAATTCCATCCAGCAGGATGAAGTCAGCCTCGAACAGGGAACCCTTCTGGGGAAAGGAGGCATATATCCATGGTTAGAGTTCAAAGTCTACTCCCAGGGGGACAGGGAAAAGGGGAAAGACATTTATCTTTTATTAACCAGTGTCACCCCAATAAATTAAAAATAAAACCATTTATCTGACTTCTTAACATTATCCTCTATCAGTACCAGAGTCCTATGGGCAGAACCAGAGCATCAAAATGGTCCAATTCCTCTCATTTTAAATAAAGGAAGAAACAACCTGGTGCGGGTTAATGCCTTGTGCAGGTTTTGTGGTGGCAGATACGAGTGGAGAGCCAGGCCTCTCAGTTCAGTCTGCATTACAGGCATTGCAAACTGTCCCATTGTCAAGAGGCTGTGCCCCTTCCCCATCATCCCCTGGTGATCTTCTCCCTCTGTTTGGCTCCCCTCAGCTCAGCAAACGCTCTTTCACTACTTGTCCAAATCTCACCTGCTCTGCCAAGTAGTCCATAGAGGTCCCCTGACTCCCACTGCCGCAGGACCCAGGCACGCGCCCGTGGACATGTATGTGCACACTGTGCCTTGCTCGTCTGCCTTTCATCCAGCCCATCTTTTCTAAACCCAGCTTTCCTCCTCCGGGAAACCTCTTCAGTTCCCCCCACCAGACAGTGCATTCTTCGCCTTTCTGGCTGCCCACGAACACCGGTGTTGGGAGCGCTGACATCAGCTGGCGAATGTCATTGTCCCAGCTGACATCCCTAGCCCCACCTGCGTTCGCCTTCAAAATCCATGCTGGGAATGCCTCATAGTTTTCCCTACATGTTTCATCATCTCTGGGTTTTTTCCAGCCTAGGACTCTGCACCCAGGGACAGCAGGTTACCACAGCCTCCCCTTCACCACTTCTCCTCAGCCAAGGAGAGGACAATGTAGTGTGGGAGGAGGTACCTGGAGTTCTTTCTCCAACTGAGCCTGAAGCTCCTCCATCCCTGAAGGCAGCACCAACCGGGAGGGCAGAGAGGTGGAGCGTCTCAGCAGCATGGGGTTGGCTCCATTGAGGAACTGGTAACCGAAAAACTCATCATCCTGCCAACGCTGGCGAACCACCTCTGTGGGGTCAGGGGGGAGGGTAGGGGGAGGATGTTCGCCACAACCCGATATCCCTCCTCCGGGCTCTACCCGAGGGATTCAGACACATGACCACCCTGTACCCAGCCCTTCTCAGAGATGACCAGGCATGATACGGCCCTATCTGGCAAGGGGTTGGGGGGACTATGGAGTGTGAAGGTCGGGTCATCAAAAGAGGGCTATCAAGGGGTCCCTGAGACCGGGGGGAACCACTAACCAGCCAGGGTGCCCTTCTGGCCCCAGAAGATCTGATCGAAATCCTCCAGTTGGCTCCAGGATCCCAGAAGGGTATAAACACGTTTGAGGACCATCTCCATTGCCCTGGGACAGAGAGTGAGGCAAGAACCCATTTGCTAATTCCTCAGCCCCTCACCGTTCACCACCATTCCTGGATCCCCCCCGCCCCCAGCCTTCATTTCACTATGAGCTCCAGGCCCTTCCTCACCCTGCCTTCATTGTCCACTCAAAGTCCAGCCTCTTCTTCTCATGGAATCTCATGTTTGGAGGCAGGTCCTCCACACGGTCTGCAGCTATTGCCAGGGGCATCCCTTCCTTCCAGAGGGCCCAGCTGGGAGAGGACAATGAGGCTTCAGGGAGGGTGTGCAAGTCAGTGATGCGGGTAGGGTCAGGGGAGGGCGGGGGTCTGAAATTTTGGGGCTCTCCTGTGGGTGGGTGGTCACCAGTATATTTGTTGTCTTTCCTTCAGTTCCTTCTCCCGATATTTCTGGAATACATCCAATGCATTGTCTCCTGCCAGGCGGGCTGGGGAGATAGTGAGACAATTGGCCATACAGTTTCATATGGTCCTGTGCCCTCCCTGCTTGTCCTCACCTTCCTTTGCGTATGGCAGTCCACGTGCTCTGCTGCTTTCGTCTCTGGCTGTGCTCCTTTCCTTGATTCCCCAGGCACGTTTATCCCAGCTTTGCTCCTGGTTTCACTATGTCACCCTCCCCTTGTCCTGTCAATCATCTTTCTCTACCTGATCCTGTTTCATCAATATCTATGATAGGATGAATCACCTCCATTAAAGTGATGAAATCTTAATCACCCCTCTGCCCACACCTGTTTTCTACTTTCTATTGCTTTGGGGAATTTTCACTTCTTGAACCTCGTCGGCCGCCCCTTGAGCTGTCCTCAGAAGTTATCTTTGGTCATCTTTCTTAGACTTAACGTCAGAGTCTGTGTTCACTGCCTTCTTCCAGCCCTTAGCAGTATTTATACTCACCTGTATCAAAGCCGCAGGTTTCCTGTTTCCCTCCTGACTTGTTCTCGCCCTCCTTGCCCTGTGTTCCTCTGTCCCGTTTCCCGCAGTAACTCACTCTGCGTTTGCCGTCCTCACGCATCCCGACTCCAGCCAGTCAGTGCGCCCGCGCCCTCCCCGTTGTCCATGTTGTCATCGCCAAACCAGCTCTGTCTTCATGTCACACCATGCGTTTCCCTGGCCTGTCTCCTCTCAGGGGTCACACCCACTGTCTCCTATCTCCCGTCAGCCAGGCCTGTCCCTGCCCTAGTTTGTTCTCAGTCACACAGAGACGGCCTCTCCACGTGTACTTCTGCCCTTCTGATTCCCAGCGTTGCCACAACTCACATTCCCTGTCCTCGCCTTCCTGAGGGGCGGGATCCACACGTCACTTATTCCCTCCCGAAGTCCCACTCCCAGCCTTTTTAATTCTATGTATAACTTGGGGACTTTAAAACTTTCCCCTCGTTTCCTATCTTTTCCACCCTTAACCTGCTGAGCACCCACTTTTTCAAGACCCATGAGCCTTCCTCAGGGCCAGCCCCGCCTGGCCCGCGCCCGCTCCCGCGGCCGCCGCTCACCGGTGCCCTCGGGCAGGGTCACCGCGCCCTCGCCCTGCACCCAGCGGTAGCACGGGAAGCTGGCCTCCGCGCCGGCTCCGGGGCCCTGCACCGTGATGCGGTCGCAGAACCACGCGTCGTCCACCAGCCAGTGATGTTTGCGCAACTTCACGAACTGCAGCGGCCCCAGGTCCTCGGCAACGTCGTGCTCAAACTCCTCCACCTGTGGGGACCCGAACGCGGTGGGGTTTAGTACTGGGGACCCGGGAGAGGCCGTTTTACTGAGGGTGCGGGAGACCTTTGTGAAGTCCGGGGACAAGGTCTCCGAGGACAGCCGTTTCTTCCTCCCAACGCCGGCCCGCGGGGGCGGGGTCCTCATACGCCCCATCGCACCGGGAGGACGAGGGACTAAGGACGCGGGGCGAGGCCCTCAGAGTCCTGAACGGAGGACTGAGCATCACCACCGACCTCCGTCCATTAACTGAGCTCTCGGCGCGCCCGCGCCCTCCCGGGACCTTCCCTCTTTGACGCCTGACCCCATACGGACGCCGGACTGGGCTCAGGTGGGGAAGTAGCGGAGGCTGCGAGGACCACGGCCAGGGGCGGGAGAAGGGGTCTGCCCCTCCTGGGCCTTGGCTCCGACCCTCTCCCGGCCTAGGCGCAGGCGCCCCTTCTCCCTGGAAGTCCCGGAGGGCGCGTGGGCGCTGTCACTCGCCCCCGCGCCGCCGCAGGCCCAGGCCGGGGTCGGGATCCCGGGTACCCCGGTTGACCTGGCCCCGCGCCGGCCGCAGCTGCAGGTCTAGCTCCGCCTGCCCGTGCTCCCCGACCAGCCACAGCCGCACGCAGTTGTGCGACCCGGAGAAGAGCCAGGCCCCGGTGGCCACGCGGATGCGGTAGATGCCCATGGCGGTTCCCTGGTAACCCAGACGAGAGGGAGCCGGGTCCTGCGCTTCTCGGGACGCCCGGGGCCGCCGGAGTGAGTCTAGCGCCGTACGGACAGTTCGGGCCTTTAAAGGGGAGTCTGGGTCCCCGCCCTTCTCAAAACTTCCCGGCGCTCGCCCGTCTCCGCCCCAAACTAGCCCCAACCTGCGAGCGGCGGAGCGGATTGCGGGGAGGGGCCGCGCCTCCCGGGCCGAGCGTGGCTGCGGAAAGATGTAGGGGCCTTTGGCCTGGGTGAGGCCGAGAGGGTGGCTGCCCCGGGGCTTCTCTGAACCTCCCTGCGAGGTTTGGAGCCAAGAGCCTCGAGCTTGGAGTGAGCAAGGGTGAGGACACGTTCTCAGATCGGTTGGTCCTTTGGAGAACGAGGTGGTAGAGGGGGTGGGTCGGCCTTCCAGAGAGAAAGTTTCCGTTTTTCTGGGCTGGGACCTTGGGAAGGCGGTGGGCTGACTTCGAGGGCCAGCCTGGGAGGCTTCGCTGGGCTGCTAGACGCTTTATGGTCCAGTAAGCCTTAAGTTCCTGATTTCTACCGCATCTAAGCCCAGTCCTTGGATAAGTGAACAGACGTTCCCAGGCCCCCTAGAACCTGGAAAAGTAACAGCTCAAAGACTTGCTCCCTGCCTCTCCCTAAACCTGGTTTCAGCATCGCGGCATTAGAACCCTAGTTACACCAGACATTGAGAGAGACCTAACTGAATGAGGCCAGTAAAAGCCTCCTTTTGTCCAACCTTCATAATGGGTGCAAGAGAATGTTAGGGACCCGGGTGTTAGGGTGCAGCGTGAAGTCACTGAGGGACCCAGCATTCATGGGCAGTTCCCATGAACTTTGCCCTTTCTAGGTAAATGCAGCTTTTTCCCCTTCATTATATTCCAGGTAAATATTTATAATGGCCTCATTTTACTGACTGTGGTGCCTGCTTCTTCTACCAGAATCCAGTTTTCCTCTAAAAAATTATATGTAAACAATTTTTATTGGGCATAAAGTTCCATTTCTTCTTCCCTCTTGTCTTTATCCCACTCAACCCCAGCTATTTCCGGGTCCTTTCATCACACTCAGCAGAGACAACCAGGGAACAGCAGTGGGGCCGGGGTTGGTTAGGGACTTTGTAAACATTAGAAGGATGACTCAAGGCTCAGGCTTTGTCACCCACCCAGGAATGAGATGAAGCTTCGTGTAGGTCCTCTCTAGATCTTCTTGGTCTAAGTCAATGTAAGCTTTTGGCTTGCACTGAGTATGGCTGGGTGCCTGGGCTAAGCCAGGGCAAGGTAAATCTGCTTTCCTGAGCCAAACCCTCAAAAATGACTTAGACCCTGGCTGGTGTTGCTCAGTGGATAGAGCGCTGGCTTGTGCATCAAAAAGTTGCCGGTTCCATTTCCCATCAGGGCACTTGCCTGGGTTGTGGGCCAGGTCCCTGGTTGGGGGCGAGCGAGAGGCAGCCAAATGATGTTTCCGATGTTTCTCTCACACAGCCAGGTTTCTCTCCCTCTCTATCTCCCTCCCTTCCCTACTCTCAAAAAAAAAAAAAAAAAAAAAAAAAAAGGCTTGGCATGTTGGTTATTGATGAGGTTAAAAGGGATTCTAGTCCTGCCTTCCAGCCTCCAGACTTCACCAAGTGACTGATCCTTACTGGGCACCCCTCCCCTTCTGATCTTCTAGGCCACTCCTGCCTACATGCTCTGTGTTCAGAACTGGCCCCCAGTTTCCTCCAGTTTGTGGGGGAGGACCATCTGGCCCTATAATATCCAAATAGAACGGCTCACATTCCCATCCTGTGAAGTAACTGAACTGGCCTTTCTACATACACCCTCTCGGGGTCACTTCTGCCTAGAAAAGAGAGTTTTGTTTCATCCTTACTTCCAAACTCAGTCCATACATCAGCCTGCTTCTCTGCTGGTGGCACCTCTGCCCCCACTCTAGTGTACTGTGAGCTCACACGGCAGTGGGGGGCCAGGGACACATACTTAGGAACGATAATCCAAGCTACTGTGTGAGCTAAATGAGATAATGTTTCAAACACTTAGAACAATACCTGGCACATAGTCCCTGTATGAATTAGCTGCTATTATTCTATTATTTACAGAGTGGGAGCAATTTCCAACTGAATGGCAGTCTCACTCCTAGAAATTCCTCTGCCTTTCCCCACCACACATTGTTTTTCTACGTCCACAGGCCACAGCCTCCCACTAGGGGTCTTGCTCCTTCAGACCCTTCCTCCCACTTTTTCTCTCTTCCCTTTTTAAGCAGAGGCATGATGTCGAGGGAAAATAATTAAAAACAAAATTTCCCAGCCTGGAAAGAAAAGTCTTTCCACAAAGGTAGTACAAAAAGAAAACAGATTTATTATTAAATTAGCATTAAACCAGTGCAATGTGCATCATGGGCAACCCACTAAGAAACTGTAGAGACAGAGAAATCTCCCCCACTTTATGCAGCCAAGCAGATACAACCTATTGCACACATGTTCTCAGGACAAACAATAACCAGTCCTCAGGTAAGAGGTGTGACGCACCCTTTGTCATGCATAGTCCATTCTAACTTCGCCTGGTATTTGGTGACTATCTATCTGAGTTATTAATATGCTTAAGCCTAGGAAAAACAAAATTCTTGTGTCTTTATGATGGATGTAGTTTTGCAACTTGGAGCAAGGAGTCCATCTCAGGTAGACTCGTCCGCTCACAGAAACTGGGATGCAGGGCTGCTGTCTCCCTTGATTTCAAAGTGATGGCTCCTCGGTCCTTGGGAGAGAGATTCCTGGTCACAAAGCTGCCCAGAAGCTTATCTACCTTATAGAAAGAGCTACACGCATTTCAAAGAGACAGAAAGAACTTACAAGTTTTCTAAAAGAGATGCCCTAAGAAGAGGGAGAGCAGGGAGAGATCTGCTCTCTTTCTTTTCTATTTTAAATTATATTTTATTGACTATGTTATTAGAGTTGTCCTAGTTTTTCCCCCTTCGGCCCCCTCCACTCAGCACCCCCCACTCCCTCAGACGGTCCTCCCACCACTGTTCAAGTCCATGGGTCACGTGTATAAGTGCTTTGGCTGCTCCATTTCCTACGCTGTACTTTACATCCGCATGGCTATTCTGTAACTACCTATTTGTACTTCTTAATCCCCTCACCTCTTCACCCATCCCCCCACATCCCCTCCCACCTGGCAACTTTCCAGTAACTACTTTCCTCTTGCTTTTAAGCATCTATTTATCTTTAATCTTTGGCATTTTAATTATCATGTGTCTTGGCCTGGGCCTCTTCGCATCCATCATAACTGGAACTCTCTGTACTTCCCGGATTTGCATGTCTATTTCCTTCATTCAATTAAGGAAGTTTTCTTTCACTATTTTTTCAGATAGATTTCCAATCTCTTGCTCTTTCTCTTCTTCTGGCACCCCTATGAAGCAAATGTTGGACCTCTTAAAGTTGTCCCAGAGGCTCTTTATACTATCCTCATCTTTTCGGTTCTTTTTTTTTTTCTCTTGTTCTGTGTGGCTGTTTTTTGGTTCCTTCTGTTCCAAATCATTGATTTGACTCTCAGCTTCACTGTCCTGTTGTTTCCCTGTAAATTGTTCTTTATTTCAATTAATGTATCCTTCATTTCTGACTGGGTCTTTTTTATGCTGCGGAGGTCCTCACTAAGTTCCTTGAGCATCCTATAGACAGTGTTTGGAACTCTGCATCTGATAGATTGCTTATCTCCATTTCGTTTAGCCCTTTTTCTGCAGTTTTGATCTGTTCTTTCATTTGGGCAATGTTTTTTTGTCTCCTTGTTTTGGCAGCCTCCCTGTGTTTGTTTCTATGTATTAGGTAGAGCTGCTTTGACTCCGTGTTTTGTTAGTGTGGCCTAATGTAATAGGTGTCCTGTAGGGTCCAGTGGCACAGCCTCCCCTATCACCCAATCTGGGCACTCAAGGTGTGTCCTTTGTGTGGGCTGAGTACACCCTCCTCTTGTAGTTGAGCCTCGGTTGCTATTGGCAGATCAATGGGAGGGATTTACCCAGACCAGTCAGCTGCAAGGACTGTCTGTGACCACTGTCCACCAATCTCTGCCATCCGTGGAGGATCAGCTGTGCAGGAGGAGGGTGGTGGGGCTCCGACATGGTCTGTAGCTGCCCACTGGGTGTCCAGGCCCTGGGGTTTCCTGGGTGGTGCAGGCCAGGGTCGAGACTCACCTGTCTTTTGCCCAGGGCACCGTGCCTGAGCTGTAAAGCAATCTGAGATGGCTGGTGCTTGTGCCGGGCTTGGAGATGCCCAAAGCCAAGCTGTGACTCTAAGCTGGCTGCTCACTGAGGCCAGCTATTGCTTGTTTTATAGGATTTAGGAGCCACAACCACCCATTCTTATGGAAAAGCTGCTTGGGTGGGTCCATAAGTTGGGTGAAATAGAGTCTCTGTGGATCTCCAAGGTGGGTCACACAGTGTCAACCAGGTTGATGGAGTTTCAGAAACGGCATCAGCCTCCCGGCTCTGTGGGGCAAGGGCTCAGCAAAGGGACAGTGGTCTCTGTTTGCCCCGATGCCAGACGCTTCAGTCTATCCCTGTATACCACAGATGCCCTTCAAGCTGCCACCCCGGTGCTGGAGCTCAGAGGGAGCGAATCTGAGTAGGTAAGTCCATGTGTGGGTTCCCCAAGAAGAACTGCTTAGGGCTCCAGCAGCCTCCTCCACCAACTCAATCCCTGTTGGTTTTCACAGGCAGAAGTTGTGGGGATTTATCTTCCTGGCACTGGAACCATGGGCCGGGGGACCTGGTGTAGGTCTAGGACCTCTCACTCCTCTGATATCCCTCCTAAATTTTCATCCACGTGGATGTGAGACCAGCCTGTTTGTGTCCATGGCCCTTCTACCAGTCTGGGTGGATGTGGTTTCTTCAGTTCTGTAGTTGTCAGACTCCCATTCAACTCAATTTCTGACATTCCTGAGTGATGGTTGTTCTATATTTTAGTTGTAATTTTGATGTGGTTGTGTGAACAGGCAAGCCATGTGTGCCTACGTTGCCATCTTGACCGGAACCTGAGAA